TGTTTTCTAGTTCCTCCTGAAATATTTCTTAGCTTGATTATCATCAAGTAAAGCCCTAAGAGGCTTCCTTACGGTGTCTTTCCTACGTCCAGCAAGCCTCAAACAAATACGTGGTCGCACTAGCGCATGATCTGAATCTAAACATGTGCCCCAGAACGAGCGACAGTCCTCTATCGAACCCTTCCATCGGTGGCTGATGGCGATATGATCTAGTTGTGTCCAACGTTGAGACGACTTCGGGGGTCGCCAGGTCAAAAGGTGTTTTTCCTTATGCTTAAAATTAGTGTTTGCTAGAAAATAGTTGGTTATCTGAGCACAGTTGCAACAGACGGTCGCCATTGTCTGTTCTTTGAGCCGCGAGACCGTAACATCCACCTAGGTGTCTTTCATTTTCACTTAGTCTACCTACTTGTGCATTGAAGTCACCAGCCATTATAACTATATCAGAGCGCTTAACTTTTTGGAGGAGGTCCGAAAGCTTTCTGTAAAAATCATCTTTTACATCATCTGGGTTGCAGTCAGTGGGGGCGTAGGCTGATATGACGAAGAGGCAACGGCGAGTGTCCCTATCTTTCCGAGTCCTTACTGTCCCGTTGAGTCGGACGGCGCACAAGCGACTATCTACAGGGATCCAGTCAAGGAGAGATTGTTCTGCCCTACGACTCAATGCTATACCTACACCGGCGAGGCCCCTAGAAGCAAGCTTTCTTCCAACCTACTCCTACATCGCAAAACATAGTTCGACGAGGCAGTCAGCGGTTTGGCATTTATAACACATGTCACAAACACCTCAACTGATGGAGTTTCAATATTCCATCTACTGACCTGCCATCCTTACCAAGGGCCCGTTTCCTGACAACAGCATTGCTTACTCGGTTGTCCCATGATACACGAGCAATGCTTCGGAGATACCTATGATCGAAAACCAGCAACCCACGAATATCTACTCTCACTGGCCATGTTTTACAGCGATAAAGTGGGACGGGGCGTACTACTGCGCATTACACTCGTCCTTTAGTCAGCAAACGGATATCTTGTCTACGCCATGTGTCACCACATTCCAATCGACCTGGCTGGCATGGTAGAACATACAGGATCATATGTTTCAGCCAACAGATCTCGGTTGTATCATCGTCATTGGCAAGCTCGAGTGCTACATTAAGTTAGCACATGCAGTCGAGATCAACAGAAAAATCAGCGTAGACGGAAAATCATGTTATTAATAGTCCCGTTTTTTGATTAAAAGCTAGCCAGTGAAGTAACCGACAATTAACTCATTTCTAAAACACATATTGCCATGCAAATATATAAGGGTGAACCATTCTAACTATTTATGTACCTCAATAATGAATGTCAAACACATCATTAGAAGCTATGATGGTATAATGGCCCTCTGGAGTGTCGCAAGGGAACAGCAATGAAATCGGTTACTTAGCAAACCGAATTTGTATCAAGACAAAAAGCAAATTAATCCGTTGTGTTTATAATGAACCTTAAGTCTCATAGGAAACCTTCAGCTCTATATAGCAATGTAGCACTAAAACATATACTACAGAAACCAAGTAATAGTCACAAAATTTTTATTTCGAAAAAACTAAAAACGAGTTGATGATTTAGATAAGCGTTATGTTACATTGAGTTCCGGATCTGTAAATCCCAGTTGTTTTGATTCTAGATTAGTTCCTGTTGGCACTCGTTGTAATGCAGCGACAGCGCAACTTTTCAGATTACACAGTTCTTCAATAACTACTTTTTCGCCGATGACACACCCTTGAACAGTACAACTAGGAATAGAGAAAATTTCTAATTAAAGTAGGAGATAGTAGGAGACACTGAACGATTTAAAAAAACACAATTAATCCTACACTTACGGTTGACTAACTGCTTGGAATAGTATGTTAACAAACAGAAGTCATAAATTCAAATGAAAGAAGCAACAAAAAATTAGGAGGAAGAACTTAGGGAGATCCAAAGTATGTTGGAGAATTAAGATATATGTGCCACTGATATTTATTTCTGACTACATTAGGGAAACTTTTAAATTACGAGTATTATTTTAGGAATCTAAAACGTCTAGAAAGCTTCAAACCCCATTTAATGACTAAGTAGCTATCCTTAGTTAAGGTGAACTTTTAGCTGATTTAACTATCTCAAATTGTTTTAGTCAAGGCTACCTGCTTCTACCCAATCGTATAATACATATGGTCCTAGTAGTAGCATTCCCTGTTTAAATTTTTTACCAGTAATGTTTTTCCTACACGTTTTAAGATGGGAATCTAATATTCTATTCTTCAGCTAGTTTGTTTTGGTACGTAGTGTAATTAGGCGCATACTACTTAATTAATTTTGGTAGTCGGGTCAGTTCTCGTAAGTTGTGGCTGACGAAATTTCGTTACAGATGGGAAAAGCCTGTTCAGATTTAGTTTCTATGTACAACCGTTCTACACAAGCAAGATGGTCGAATATCTATCTGAAACAGTTTGTCGTGTAGCAATATATTTAGTAATTCAAAAACACAAACATTAGTTACGATTATTCGACCACGCGCGTGTGAAAGTATTGTTAGCATAGTATAAAATCGTCAAGTAAAGGCGGTGTTTGAAGAAAAGTATTAAAAAAAGAAGTTCCGATCAACTAGGGTGATTAATACGTGCGTCCGATCATCAAACTCTTAACGCCAGTTGGTATAGAAGCTGATGGTGAGAAAGCCAGGGTAAGTCAAATGGAGAGGTTGCAACAGTTTGAACAATATCAACAGATGAAAATTACATGTCTGGGTTCCGTGTCATAACTATTATTTATATTTATAGAGCTTAGGTGACACAGATCAAATCAATCGTAGTGGTACGCTAATTCTTTAACCTAAACCTTAAGTTTATTACTTCTGTATACCTTTTATTTCAAGAGTGCATCCAATACTTTGAACTATATTTTGTACATTTGATTCTCAGTATTACTGATTTCACGATCTCTTCCGTATCCGCGCGGAAATTTCGTCACACACCAGGCCATTAGCACTGATGACACTCCCAAGTTCAAATACTAGATACTATTTGCTTCCAATAGAAATAACAGTATAGATTGTGAAGCGTACGAAAAATCCACGGGTTTGGTGATTCAGTTTAACTACCAAACACGTACAAAGTATGGAATAGGTATACTGCGTTACCGATTTCACATTCTGATGTGAACGTGAACTGTCATAAGTCCAAAATGTGGTTTCTACTGGTAATTAATCGCCAGAATTTGTGAGCAATGTTCTGGTTCGAATCTTATGGGAAAAGAACGTCAGTTTTTGCTATTAAAAATACACTAAAGCAACAAGCAGCAACAGATTTACTACACTTGCCTTAAGTACGAAATTATTCAGGATAATTTCTACGTTTCGGGGAACTTTGTAAAAACACTATTAAACTCAAGTAACTCCGCCCGGATACCCGCTAGTTACCGCCAGTCTCAAGCCCGTATAAAGGAGGAGAGTTAGGCATGGGTCGGTGAACACATCTCGGAGGAAAATAACTCACTCAAAAACAGCTAACCGTGAAAATTATTCAGTCCATTTTTACTTCACCCTGGGAGTTTAATGGTTTTCATTTAGAAAAGTTACGACGTTTCATGATGAAAGCCGAGTGCCTCCTTCTGACAACCAGGGCAACAATTATTATAGGTACATGGAATATCTGTACAATGTGAGAAACAGGAAGGACCATTGAAGTTACTGTAGAAATGAAAAGACAGCCTGATGGTGCTTGGAATAAGTGACCGCCATTGGACACAGGCTCTACAAAAAAGAGTAGCTTCAGGAGAGATATTGTTATACTTTGGACACAAGGAAAATGCCTCACACACAGAAAGAGTTGCACTGATGCTGTCCAAAGAAACCCAAAAGGCACTGATAGGAGGGAATCTCTTGAACACAGCTTCATCAAAACACCCTTCACGACAAAGAAAGACAGGATTATAATGAATGGCATTATGTATTACGCGTCTACAAATGATTACAATCAGGGTATTAAAGATCAATTTTATGAGAGGCTGCAATCGATTTTTGAGAAATGTTCAACAAAGAACTTGAACATTCTGATGGGAGACCTAAACGCCAAGGTTGGAATAGACAACATTGGATGTGAAGACATCATGGGACGACATGGACTGGGAGAAAAGAACGAAAACAATCAGAGATTTGCATGTATATTAGAGTAAAGCTTGATTACGATCTAACTGGAAACAATATCGCTCGCTTATATGTGTTGTTCTAGATTTGCGAACGTACGTACGAACGTATGCCTTCAACAAGCTGGTCACAGGCGGCATCATATTATCACACAAACGCATAAACAAAGCGAGATGGATTTCAACGGAGCCAACTACACAAAACTAAATTGACCATATCTGTATCAATAAAAAGTTCAGAATGACGACAGAAGATATAGGAACAGAGAGAGTAGCTGATATAGCTTCAGATCACCACTTGGTGGTAGCCGAGATCAAACTGAAGCCAACGAATTCGAGGTAGTTCACTCAGCAATAGGTTACAAGCCCTTCACGACCTACTTTTTGGACAGGAAACTACCATGGAGAACAACTGGGAACGGATCAAGAAAGCAGTAAATTAAGAATGTCAGGTTTTTAGTCACAAGAAGCACTAACATAAGAAATGGATCTCTATTGATACTCTGGATTACATTCAAGAAAAATGGGACAAGAAAGCAGAAATCTGTAATGGTCGCACAAGAACAGAGAATGCCAAAACACAAGCTGAATACACTGAAGCAAACAAGCGAGCGAAAAGGAGTACCGGAGCTAACAAACAGAACTATGTGGAAGAGACAACGAGAAAACTATGTGATGCATCAAAGAAGCTTGCTGGAAAATATAATAAACCAGAACCAGTCAAGAACAAGGAAGGCGAAGAAATCACCGACATCGAAGAACAGTGAAACATGTGGGCAGAGCACTTTGACGAACTTCTGGATAGATCAACTCCACTGAATCCACCGGTCATCAAGGCATCACCTTCAGACCTCCCGACTAATGTCAACCAATTAACAGTGGAAGAGATCACCATGACCATCAGACAAGTGGGGCAGAGCAGCATGACCAAACAACATACCATCTGAAGCATTGAAATCAGACATAGAAGTAACTGTCAAAGTGCTCTACACTCTATTCAGCAAGATTTGGGAGGAAAACCAAGCAGCAGTAGACTGGAAAGAAGGACACCTCATCAAGATACTAGAAAAGCAGATCTTAGCAAGTATGAGAACTACAGAAACATCACTGTACTATGAATACCAAGCAAAGTCTTCAACAAAGTGGCTAAACTGAATGAAAGTCACAGTAAACGACCGACTCCAAGATCAACAGGTTGGATTCCGTAAGGAAAAATTATGAACCGACCAAATCGCGACAATATGAATCATCGTTGAACAATCATTTGAATGGAATTCACCCCTGTACATACATTTCCTCGACTCAAAGGAAGCCTTTGACAATGTGAAAAGAAGAATATTATTGGAACTTCTTAGATACTTCGATGAACCAGGAAAGGTATTCAATATAGTACGAAATTCTTACGACAGACTACACTGCAAACTTGTGCATAGAGGACAGATCATAGACTCATTCCAAGTAAGGACTGGTGTCAGGCAAGATTGCTTACCTTCATCCTTTCTCTTTCTCCTGATCGTAGACTGGATTATAAAGACCTCAACATCTGGTGGGAATTACAGCATACGACGGACAGTTTGGATGCAGCTGGACGATTTGGATTTCGCAGATGTTCTAACCCCTCTATTCCACACGTAACAACAAATGAAGGAGAAGACGATCAGCGTAGCAGTAGGTCTCAACATACAAAATATAAGATCCTTAGATACAACACAACATGAACCAGTCAAATCACACCTGAAGGAAAAGCTCCAGAAGAAACAGGAATCTTTACATTTCTGGGTAGCATCGTTGATGAGCAACGTGGGTCCGATGCAGATGTAAAAGCAAGGGTCGGAAAAGCCAGTGTAGCATTTCTGCAATTGAAGGACGTCTGGAGCTCAAAACGACTGCCAACCAACACCTGTCACAATTTTCAATACAAATGTCAAGACAGTTCTATTGAATAGAACTACGAAAACCATCATCCACAAGATACTGAGGATCCGTTGGCCAGACACCATCAGCAACAACCTACTGTGGCAGAGAAAAAATTGGATTCCAGCAGAGGAAGAAGTTCGGAAGAGCCGCCGGAGGTGGATAAAACAAATTGAGAAAAGCATTCGACTGCGTCATAAGTCCTCACTAGGAATCCTCAATGCCGGAGAAGAGGTTAACCAATGAACATAGTGAACGGAGAATAGGAAGCAGATATGATGAGAATGAAAAGCAATCGGAAAAGAAGGCCCAGGACAGAGGTCTGAGAATGCTGATCAGCTATCTATGCTTTATCCGGCGAAAACAGGCGTAGGTAATTAGACTTGAGTGTTTTACTCTTACAAAAACTGAAATCTAGAGTTGTATGAACCTGTCAATATGCAAGTAAATAATTAATTTGGAAAACTCCTTACATTATAAAGCAACTAGGTGCCATATTACAGCAGTAAAGTTGATATGACTACTTACTTATCCCTTATCTCGACATTCGAAAGAAGAACTGAGTTTATGATTCGTACATCGGCACCAATTTTGCATGAAGAACCCACAAAACTTGAACGAATAAATGCTTTTTTGTGTACTGTGGAACTTTCTTGGATAACATTTAATTCCTTTACTGACTGTTGCAATCCAGTGTGGTTGTAGGATTTCTGGATAATCTGTTAAAAGTACGTTTAATAGATTATACTACTGACTGTTAAAAAAGACTACAATGAATTTAAAAATCGTTTCACCCCGTCTTTAAAGACACATTGTAATGTATCGTAGGGTAACAGAAACGACTGGATTCATAGGTCACTTTTACATAGCATTCTTGATCGACTGACTACAGATGAAGAAAAATACGGGTGTGAAAGTTTTTGAAAATATTAGAGCATACTATTATGATCGATGTCCATGTACCTAAAACCAAACACACAAACATGTATTGCTTGAATGAAAGACTCGCGAAAGCCTAAGAAAAAAAAATGCACCACATTAAGCAAGGATTCTGAATCAGAGGAAAGGAAACAAAGTCCCACACCACAGCATTAATAACCAATATTCTAAATGCTCTTTATATGATCTAGTGAATGTAGAAAACCAGGAGTCCATAGAACGGTTAGCATTTCAAATACGTGAAATACAAAAGAAACCAATGATCAGTTATTATTGAGATGTTTTAGTTTCATACTTGGACTTACATCCACAACGACATCAAGTTGTCTATGAACAAGTGTATCGACAAATACCTATAAACGTAAGTTTACAGTGATTAAGTAATTTGGCAGCTATTCCTACATAGCACATTAAACGTCATCATTTGTTGTACTCAAGTAAACTGGGATTTCAGAACGGCTTTTGTCTACGACTAAGAGATTCTCAAAGCAGGCTGACAAGTAGTGGTGTTATCCACACCATCAACCATGTTGATCAAATAATATCATCGCATCTTATATTTCTTCATTCGTACTGTTAACTCTTCCTTTCTGGGTTTATCTTCGTCGCTCGAACAATACGAATAAGATGTTCTTTAGAATCGCATTTCCAGTCACTTACAACGTAGAATTTCGTACGTACGTAAATCTGTTCAAGTTGCCATACCACATTAGCACAGAGATGCAATTGTCACTTCAACAAATCCCATAGTAGTAGAGGTAGTAGAAGTGTTAGCAGTAATCGGAAATTTCAGGGTTCGACGATATTATTCAAGAAGTAGAATCTAGTGAAATAAACTTAAAAATAAAAGGGTAAAGGTGACGAGGAATTCAGAAGGTTAGGATTTGAGCAAACACAAAGAGTGGATGCAACTGCGCCATTGCAAACGGTCTTTAGCCATGCGATTCTAGTCTTATGCGCTGTCCGACTAGAATCGCATTTAATACTCACTTTTCAGGCACCAACGAGTAACTTAGGATGGACATTTCGATTTTTTTATTTCCACACGCTTCTGAAACGAATAGTTCGGAATTGTTTACGCAATGTTAGTACATCTAGAGTTGTTGATAAGCCATACGCCTCCCGAAAGTTGTAAAATTTTCTACTAGTTCTTTCATTTCAACCCTAAGGAGTTGACAACACTATACAGAAATGTTTCTGTATTTATTTTCCAGTCTACCGCTACACCAAACATCACTCATCGAGGCAGTAAGCAGGTGGTTGGGCATACGTAACACATGTCTGAACTATCTCAAGTGATGAAAGTAAACGAAATCTGAAGCGAAGGGGGAGCGGGTTTTCAGAGACAGACCTTTAATATTTTAAAAGATGGTGGTCCTGTTTTAGCAGTGAAATTGACTAGGATCTGAGGCAGAATCTGAGGACAGAGCGTAACTCCATCCGGCTGGTCTCAACCACTGCCTGTCCCAATCTATACGAAGGACAAAAGTCCTCTTGTGACAATCACACTGGAATCAGTTTAACTAATATAGTAGCCAAATTATTAGCCTCGAAGTACCAGTGAAGTACATTAACCTTATACAAACTCTCTACTCGGACACTACTGGTCACGTTAGAGCTTATGGCGAACTGTCATCGGAATTGATTACTTCAAGTGGTGTCCGTTAGGGCTGTCCACTTTCTCTATTCTTGTTTAACTTCGTCCTAGACATACTTTTAGAGTAAACATTATCTTCGTCTGACTTTACAGGGTTGGCTCTAGAGACGATTGTTGACTAAGAGTATGTTGATGACAGTTCTATTTGGTGAAGACGCTGACAAAATGCATAGTTCCCTGAACATTTTAAGCAACAATGCAAGCATGTTCGAGATGCGCTTTTCCCCCTCCAAATGTAAAATGTTGCTTGAGGATTGGCTTGCATCGTCACCTTGACTAGTTAAGAAGTTGAGTGTGTCGGCCGCTCCACTTATCTCGGGAGTCTCATTAGTGCCGATGACCTGGTGTCTGACGTATTCTCAGTATGGAGACAGCTCGACTGGCTTTTGCCAACTTGCGTCACTTATGGCGTGGGTGTGATATCCGTCTGCTAACCAAAAGAAGACTGTACTGTGAGGTAATTCACTCCGTCCTAGGAAACGTGTATTAAGTGAATGGTAATCAATACATGAAGCGATGAATCATCAGTTGAGGTGTTTATGACATGTGATATAAATGCCAAACCGCTGACTGCCTCGTCGAACTATGTTTCGCGATGTAGGAGTAGGTTGGAAGAAAGCTAGGGGCGGCCAGACCAAAACATAGCAGAAATCCATGAAGTAACTGACAAGTGGACTGAGTCATGTTGGTAAATATAGGCTACCCGGTTCGGGTGGGCGAGACGAAAATCACCGATGGTTAGGGACTCTGAATGACATGGCTCAAAATCGTTTGCAATGGCGCAGTTGCATCCACCCTCTGTGTTTACTCAAATCCTAACCTTCTGAATTCCTCATCACCTTTATCTTTATTTCATGAGATACTACTTCTTGAATTTTATCTTCAAATCCTAACCTCCATTAGCAGTAGTTCTACTATAATCTCTTCCACTATGAGGTTTGAATTGACAATCGCGTCTCTGTGCTAATGTTGTATGGCAACATGAACTATTTTACTTAGGTACGAAATTCTACGTTGTTAACTGACTGGATTTCTATATTGTTGTGGACTGACTGACTTTTATCTCGCTGTGCAATGAGGTATGACAATTTGAATTAATGTACATATATCCTATGGTGTTCACGTTGCATTAGAGTGATTGATTATTCTCCAGGTGGCTGATAAATTCCCATTTTCTTCTCATCTGCCATCTATTCTTGCGGCGTTCCTTAATGTAGCTTGGATCCACCGAACAGAAAGGCAAATGCTACTCAGAATATGATATGCAGCTGTTCCGTTCGTTAGAAGTTGACTTGTAATACTTGGATGCTTTTAGTGTGTGATTGTATGGGAGTTAGTAAAAGCACGGGAATTTACTTACGTACGTGCGGCACTTATTTTTGATCGATAAAATCCAAAGAGATGCAAAGCAGCCATATACCTGTGTTAATCCTAAATGGTGGACTATACGGATTAGTTGAAAGATCTATGTGCCCAGGTAGTGGTATGAGTGCTTATGACGGCACGACAGATAAAATTAAACCAGATATAATGGTGAACAGAGGCTTATGTCAGTTCGGGTCATATATGGTACCATCGTGATACTAGCCTAGTAGAATTAATTCAGGTGTTCAACGGGTTAGACAGTTCCTTTCCGAGGTTTTTGACGAGTATTGGCCCACGCTCTTGCTGAGGATATAGAGGAACATGAGTACTGGCGAGAAGAACCAAAAAATATTTTGAAAAACATATAGTTACCAACCAGGCGATTTGTTTCAGCGTATATTAATGGATCCTCAAATTTAACTGAAATAATTTTATCATGATGTTCATGAATGCAAGTTCCACCTGTTTGGTAACATTCAGTGTAATTCTTTGCGTTGTTGATATCGAATTTTTCATCAAGCTCTTCGTTAGTTTCTAGAGCTTATAAAATAATTATAATGTTGAGTTTACCTTTAATAATCTCTTGGGGTTCGGACCAAATATATTGCCAGATGGACTTTTTACGGTGAGTTATATCTTCCCCTAACTTAGAACTAAGGTAGAAAAATATTCAAGTCAGTTTACCTTAGCAATATGATCCAAAGTTGTTCTGGAAACCAAATATAATCCACAATCTTTAAGATCTGACCGACAAAAGATTGTCTGTTGAGAACTAAGAATCTTTGAAAGTTTAGATTGCTTTTTTATTTCACTTGCAGGTACATAGCTAATTAAAGTACTGCCATCAATTGTAGTTACAGTTAATTCACTAGGAATTAACTTGAGAAGTTTGCTTTCTGTCACAGGAAGAGTTGAAAATACGGCTACCATTGATGCTTTTTTCCTGATCATTGTCAGAAATACGTCCCGTAAGTCGATTTCATTGATAACAGTGTTGGAATAAGTAATAAACAGATAATTGGATGTTATTAAGGGACGAATTCTTTGTAATGTTTCGGATAAAGAGTAGCTGTTAGGAAGTTCGTGAAGATTAATCTTCATATAAGCAGGCCAGAGTTGACGATTTTCATTCAGGTAATTTGTCAGACGAACTGTCTGCGATTTATTGTGAACTATTATTACGTCAGATACTTCACTCAGAATGAAAATACTTATCAATCTAGTGAGGACGGTTTCATTTCCCAGAGGAAGCAAACAAGCAGAACCTTGTATGACTAATTGCTCCAGCTCAGGAGATTCTGCGTTGGATATTATTATTGCTTGCATTCCTTGTGAGGAAGAATAAAGAGTATATAGTTCGAGTGACACATTACGTTTATATAGTCATTAGAAAATATTACCAGTTCGAAACAACTGACCGACACTGTGACACTTATTCAAAATATAGAGAATGAAGGCGAAAACAAATTGTTGCTTGTGTAGAAAAATGTATCTCAGTATACAATCGAACATTGTTTTTAGATGTGTTTACTCTTCACCGAATCATTTTGTTTTGTACCACTTCAACATTAAATCGAGAAATCGTTAATAGTGGATATATATTTGGGAAGCTATACGTATATAAGCCGTTCTTCAAGGAGCGAGACCATAATTTACATACCAACAGATGAGGACTAAGCGAGTGTTCGGTATTTCAGTGAAATTTATCTAACCAATTATTTAGATAGTCTTTTGGCATCATAAGCGATGTAAGTTGGCGATGAAAGCACTCGCTATAAATCGCATTTCTAATTCGTCGCACTGAGTTACAACTCTCTTTTTAAAGAGCGTACAGGTATTTGATTGGGTAATTTTGATAACTTATGTAAAGATTATCAGATATACAGAACATAAAATAGTGAGATCCAGTGTTATCACTCAAAAGACTGATGATGAGCTGCACGAGTTTAACCTAGCATTCAGATGATTATATTCTAAAGTTCAAAAAAAATAAGGTGCTTCTAATTGTTGTATTGATAAAAAAAACATCGAAACGAGTACAGGAACTCACGAAATGCGGCGAAAAACTTCAGACAATTGTATTCTCAGCCTTTGGTGAGTTTTCCTTTAGCCTGAAGGTTTCCCGTGTTGAGCTGCCAAGTTATCTGAAAAGTTAGGGCAGAAGACTTGATTGTCACATAATATGCACTTCATTCAACTTAAAAAAAACCAAGTGACAACACGAACATCAGATTAAGGAACACTGATAACCGAAACTAACAGTTGGTGGCGTATGACTTCAAAAACGATACATTTTAGCAAACAAAATCGCGCCAATATCCAATATCTTTTAAACGAGCTAGTACAAACCAGTTGATTTCTTTGTGCTCGATTCTTGTTCTTTCGGTACTGCTCTAGGTGTTCGGTAATTTCCAATGAATTAGGGTCTAGCCACTCAACTGTCTAGTCTGTTGGCAGCTGGTTGTGAGTTTGTATGTCTCGGGATTTGAATGAAAACGTTTGTTTCAGGGCAGTAGGGTTTCTGCATACTAGCAGCCGTCACATTACCAGACCAGAGATCAGTTACTTGCAATGTGGAGAGTAATAATGGTAATAAGTATAAATTACAATGATAATACGAATAAAATTTCAGAACTGAGTAAAATATAGATTATTTAGTTTATTAATTGGTAGTAGAGATAATGAGAGAGGAGCGAAGTGTAAGCAAGGGAGAGGAAACAGAGATAATAGGCTAGATAGATTAGATAAGTGATCTGGGGAGATGGCAATGACAACAACTAGCAGGTTTCAACATATGCATCATGAACAGCTTGTCCAAGAGGGAGATGATAGTCCGTATGTGAGTACGTGACTATCAAGTCTCTTCTTAAAGCAGTCCACTGAGGAGTCTGTGGTCATCTCGGCTGGGAAAACATTCCAAGTTGTGACGACTCGCAATGAGAAGAGTGCACGAATCTGAGTATTTGCTCTTTGTTGTGCGATCTTTCGAGGATTGCCTCGAGGGGAGTGGTGGTGATGCATCGGTAAGATGCTCACGTTGGGATGGTTTTGCGTGTTTAATATGTTGTACGCCATCATCAGATCACCTCTGATTCTCCTGCAACTCGGTGGAGATAATCCCAAGGGCTGGAGTCTATCTTCGTAAGGTTTATTTTTTAACCTTATCACCCATTTCGTTGTTCGTCTCTGCACTCAATCCAATCTTTTAAGCAGAGAGGACGTGATGACATTGTGAACCTCCAGGTGTGGGCGTGCATACGTCTTAAATAGGGTTAAAAATAATTGCGGGTTGATAGCACCAAGTGGTCTTTGCATAAAGTGAAGAGTCGCATTTGCCTTGGCTGCGTCCCCTACATAGTTTGGACTGGTGTGGAGGATTTTTGTGGTTATTAAACCGAGATCGCTCTCTGATGAGACATCAGGGAGCTGACTTCCATTGAAGGTATAGATCGTTTGCGTCGTGTGATGCAGAATATGAATGATGTGGCACTTCGATTGGTTGACTTTTAAACCGTTTTTCACTGACCATTCCTCAATAGATGTAAGGTCCTTTTGAAGCTCAGTCGAATCCTCTTCGCTTCTACTTACTTACTTACTTACTTACACCTGTTACCCCCAATGGAGCATAGGCCGCCCACCAGCTTTCTCCAACCAACTCTGTCCTGGGCTTCCCTCTCCAGTTCTGTCCAATGTTTGTTCATTCTTCTCATATCTTTCTCTATTTTTCGGCGTAGTGTGTTCCTTGGCCTTCCTCTTTTCCTTTTGCCTTGAGGGTTCCATGTGAGGGGTTGTCTCGGGACGCAGTTGGGTGCTTTTCGTAGTGTGTGTCCTATCCACTTCCACCGCTTCTTCCAGATTTCCTCCTCCACTGGAATCTGACTTGTTCTCTCCCACAGTTCGTTGTTGCTGATGGTTTCTGGCCAACGAATCCGAAGTATTTTGCGTAGACAGCTGTTAATAAACACTTGTATCTTCTGAATGATGGCTTTGGTAGTTCTCCATGTTTCCGCTCCCTACAGTAAAACTGTCTTCACATTTGTATTGAAAATGCTGATTTTGGTTTCGTTTGAAAGTTGTTTGGAGTTCCAGATATTTTTCAACTGTAGAAATGCAGCCCTTGCTTTGCCAATCCGTGCCCTCACATCTGCATCGGATCCACCTTTCTCGTCGATGATGCTGCCCAGATATGTAAAGGTGTTAACGTCCTCCAAACAATCTCCATCAAGCGTGATTTGTTTGGTGCATGTTGTGTTGCATCGGAGAATTGTGCTTTTTCCTTTATGTATGCTGAGACCTACTGCTGCAGAGGCTGCTGCTACACTGGTCGTCTTCTCTTGCATTTGTTGTTGAGTGTGCGATAGAAGAGCCAGATCATCTGCGAAGTCCAGATCGTCCAGCTGCGTCCTAACTGTCCAGTTGATACCGTGCTTCCCTCCAGATGTCGAAGTCTTCATAATCCAGTCGATGACCAGGAGAAAGAGAAAGGGTGAGAGTAAGCAACCTTGCCTGACACCGGTCTTCACCTCAAAAGAGTCTGTCAGCTGACCTCTGTGCACGATTTTGCAGTTGAATCCATCATAAGAATTCCGTATGATGTTAACTATTTTCTCAGGCACACCGTAGTGTCGAAGAAGCCTCTACAGTGTTTTCCTATCCACGCTATCAAATGCTTTCTCGTAGTCGATGAAGTTGATGTAGAGTGGTGAGTTCCATTCAATTGATTGTTCCACAATGATCCGTAATGTAGCGATTTGGTCAGTACATGATCGATCCTTACGAAATACGGCCTGTTGATCTCGAAGTTGGGTGTCTACGAAGTCCTTCATTCCGTTTAACAATACCCTGTTGAAGACTTTTCCTGGTATTAAAAGAAGAGTGATGCCTCTGTAGTTCTCACACTTGCTCAGGTCTCCTTTCTTTGGTATTTTGATCAGGTATCCTTCTTTCCAATCTGATGGTACTTGTTCCTCATCCCAAATCTTCTTGAAGAGAATGTGAAATATTTTCGCAGTTGCTTCTACATCTGCTTTGATTGCCTCTGCTGGAATGTTGTCTGGTCCTGCTGGTTTGCCACTCTTGATTTGTCTGATGGCCATACTGATCTCCTCAATCGTAGGTGCGCCAATATTAATTGGGAGGTCCTTGGATGCTGCTTCGATGTTGGGTGGGTTCAGTGGAGCTGGTCGATTCAAGAGTTCCTTAAAGTGTTCTACCCACCTATTTCACTGTTCGTCAGTGTTGCTGATTATTTTCCCTTCCTTGCTTTTCACCGGTCGTTCTAGTTTACGATAGTTCACGGCGAGCTTCTTTGTTGTTTCGTACAATTGTCTCATGTTTCCTTCTCTTGCAGCCTTTTCCGCCGTCATTGCTAGATCTTCCACATATTTTCGTTTGTCAGCTCTGATGCTCTTCTTCACTTGCCTGTTTGCTTCTGTATACTCGGCTTGCGCCTTAACTTTCTCTGCTCTTGTTCGGCTGACATTCACTGCTGCCTTCTTGTTCCTCCTTTCTTCAATTTTTTCAAGAGTATCAACAGAGATCCATTCCTTGTGATGGTGCTTCTTGCGACCAAGGACCTCCTGACATGTTGAAGTGATTGCCTCCTTAATCCCTTTCCAATTGTTCTCCAAGGTTGCTTGCTCTCCATTGAGTAGATCCTGAAAGGCCTGGAACCTATTGGTGAGGGCTATCTTGAATTCGTTGAGTTTTACGGTATCCCGAAGAAAGGCTGTATTAAACTTCTGTGATGTTGTCTGCCCCGTCGTCCAGTGCTTCTTTAGCTTCCGTTTCATTTTAGCTACCAGCAAATAGTGATCTGAAGCTATATCAGCTCCTCTCTTGGTTCTCACATCCTCCATGGTCCTTCTGAACTTTTTGTTGATACAGATATGGTCAATTTGGTTTTGAGTAGTGTGTGTAATGAGAACATTAGATGCACAGGACCTGCCTTTCCGAAACGCATGTTGAGCTTCATGGAGTATTTTATTCTTATCCACGTACTCCCTCATTTGTTCGTCCACCAACCCTTCCATAACCTTTGATAGTATTGGTTGTAGTGCGACTGGTCTGTAACAGGCTGGGTCCATTCCATCTCCTGCTTTGAAGATTGGAGGGAAAGTAGCTTGTTTCCATTCAATCGGGAGTTGGTATGACTCCAGTGAATGCCTGAACAGGTCATATATCGTTGAACAGAGGACTTCTGCACATTGTTGCAAGACTATGGGGCGAATTTTGTCACAACCTAGCGACTTACCTTTGTGTAAGGATTTTAATTTCCTTAGTACTAAGTCAGGAGTGATACGGATTTTCCCTAAGCCGTCAGCTAGGAATGGGTTGGCGTAGTACTCTGAACATGTGGGTGCCTGGTTTAACTGATCATAAAAGTTAGTGTTGAAGATCTCGGCCATCTCTAAGTTGTTGAGGTCCTCCTCGTTTGGTCCTTTAAGAGAACACAACCCTGATTCGTAGGTTTTCTTTCGGACATAAACCTAAACAGATACTTCGGGTTTGGCAGCTAGCTTCATCTGAAATCGTCTCCTATCACTTCGATCTTTGGTATTGCATCTTTTTCCCAATGCTAAGTATGAACTACGATCGGAATCCTTAAAGGAGACCTTCCACTTGTACCGGGCTCTACTCTTCACCTGTAGCAAGCGTTCAGTGTCGCGCTTAACCCAGGTTCTTCTATTCCCGCGTGTGTGGTGTGACTGAGGTACACTTCTGAGGACAACATTTTGGATGATTTCTCTCACTATTTGCCAGTGATCATCTACTGTCAGCATCCACCAGTCCCGTGGCCATAGGACATGTAGGAGGACCTCTCTCATACGTGTATAGTTTGCCCTAGAGTAGCAAAGATAGGGCTCGTTATCGTCCTGTGTGAGTGTTTCGTTTATGACCACGTTAAAATAGACTGTGCCTTGGTAAATACTACCTATTGGTGCACGGACGTGGAGCTAGTTATTTGTTAACAGATAATCCAGGTTTGAGGACTTTCCCTCTTTAGTCCATCTAATGGCACTGCATACGTGCTCAGTTGGCCCAGAGCTTCTAATGACCCTTTCAAATTGTCTTTGGAACCAACCAGTTGAAGTTGTACTCTGACTGCTGAGGTTTAGAGATGGGGTATTGAAATCTCCAGCTAAGAGTATTCGATCACACCCAAGGTGTGGCAGTTGCAGTGTTGCCTCTGTCAGTTTGACTTTCTGGGCCTTAGTACATGAGGGATTACGGCAAGTCCCCCCAATCAAGTATTTCGTGCCATTTGTGTGACAAAAACACCGATATGATCTTCAGATCCATCTGAGAGCACATATTCCTGATTTCTAACAGCTTACCCCTTAGTCCTCTTGCGTTGCTATAGAGGCACTTGGTAGTCAAACCGAATTGGTCAGTTCTGTGGGAACTGGCCTCAGCTGGTCTTTTCCCTGTGCAGAGAGTTCAATTGAGGAGGCTATTATCTTCATGTCTTGTGCCAGGGGTTGTTGACCTCGGTCAACTGTCAGTTTTGTACGTTCATTGTGGCCTCCCTGCTTTTGGCTCACAGATCTAGGTCAGCTTTTGCAATACCTGATGTGTCCAGACAGGTCGTTCTTAGAACTGTATCAAGCTTGGAGTGCCAGCATTTATCACACTGTTTTTTGTCAAGGCGGCCATACGTTTTAGTAAGCTACCTTCTGACACTGGGACATCAAATAATATGAGTGAATTTATTCTACCGTCCCTATGAGTGGTGGCCGCTTGTGAGTTGTGGTGTTGTCATTACCTTTCTTCACTTTCAACCGCTGTTAAGTATTCTCAACAGATACGGGGAATCAGCAACAACCGGCAGTTTTGTCGGTGTATTGATTAGGGTTTTGATTGCTGTGGTCACCCGTTTCACTGGTTTGGTACCAGGCGATTTTGGTTTGTCCCTTGGGACGTTTTAGCTGATTTTTGGTGGGGCCTGTGGCTTCGGCAATGCCTCAGATACTCTACAAAGTTGGAAGATATACCAGAACCATGGTCAGAGGTGACTCAACATGAACCCGTAGCACTATTTAGGTATTGTGGTGTCACAGTGACAACGAACCCATGTACTACATAAATGGCATTCAAAAGCAGTCACTGATTTTGACTAGTACTGAACAGGCGAGTCATCCTTATGCGGTTTCTGTCCGGCAGACTGTGTCGAATGAGCCTTGGGTTGCCAGACCTCAGTGTACAATCCCATCCATTTTTACATATCAGTGTCAATTCGATTTTTCACATTTACATATCAGCATATTCCTAAATCGTTGTTAAACGAACCACTTATAGATAGATGATTATGACAGTAAATGTACATTATGAAAAATTGCGTTAATTTTCTTCAACCAATTGAGTTATTCCTGCGTATTATTGAACTTGTCGCTGTTTATATCTCCTTACACTACTGTTGACCTAAAAGCTTTATGGAAGCCCTGCACAACCGATACACATAGCCCAAGTCATGAAGAACAATTACAGTCCTGACCATCAATAAGAAGATTCAAACTATCAATAAAATGAGTGTCAGGTCACGTGTCTATAAATCCTACTTGTAGATCTGTGTCAAACGTGTAATCTGAGTGAATTCGGACCAACTAGAAGTGCACTCCTTTAATAAAACCTACCGTCTAAAATTACATTTACCGTTCGCTGCAGCTCATACTGAATATACCTTGTACAGAATGGCTCTGTCAATTGCTCCGATAAGACTTGGGTTATCATTTAAGTCGCTATCTCTTACATAGTTATCGGGTGAAATGACTAAAAACTTGCTAAGAGTTCCCCTGTCCAATACAGAATCTTTAAGCTGAAACTACGTACTGACTGTATAAATTCGACTTAAATACGAAGTTTTACACAAAACTGGACTGCAATACAACTCGGCAAAGTAAAGGTTACTACGTATCAGAGTCCATTGGTCGACGAACTTCTTTATGTACTAACGTCCTCGTTTTGTTTGGAATAATCACATAAAAAAACCGGCTACATTTAAAGATCGGATTATTCAGATCACTGGAACCCTCAGCTCTTAGGTTTGCTCTTCTGAGCAAACCGAGATGGAAATATAAGCTGTAGGTCAACTAAGCGTCCATTGGCGCGGAAGCATAGAAATTCAAGACTTCAGAAAAAAATCAGGAGTTTTACCAAATGAAATTGGGGGATCTAACGCCCTCAACAATTTCTCATTCTTCAGGGAGTAAGCAGAAAGCCGATCTCTACTAACATCAGAACATACGTTTACCTTAACGTGGTGGTACAAGAACCCATCCACAGTAATTTCGTTATGGCAGACTTGTAAATGCTAATCGTTGATATACACCTGCTACAACAACACAAAATACACTTTTAAACAAGTGAACTGAGTTTAGTAAACGACAGTAATGAATTACCCGTTCCCGAAGTTTCATTCTTTGGTTTAAGGTTATGTCCAGTTGTGGTGAAGCCTACATTCGACCCGTTTTTTCATATAATGCTTGATAGGTACCCGGAACTGTACAAAGCATGACTGCAGTTACTGTCTAGAACCAGCTATGTTGCACATCATATCACAACTGATGATGATTCACGTCTCAGAGATCGTCCCCTCTGATATAGTGTGCAGATTTACATTGACTACTCTTAGAAGGCGCTAAAACTGTGAGAATATAGCAAACGTATTTATCCCATTGGATTGAAAAGTTTACTCTGAGTAGATGTGCGTACATCGTCAGTTATAACACTTCTATTTGATATTGCATGCTAACAATACTCTGTACATCATCTGTCTAACCTCTAACAAAAGCAGTATTTATTTGGAAACTAATGGAGCACAAAGCCACCAGTTTTGGCCACAACTTTGGTTCAGATTCTGCATCAACAAGCCAAAAGAATTAGATACTTTTCAGACTGATGAATTTTCACAGAAAGTTCACTAGTCCGCTGAATCCAACTATGCTGAGAGACGATAGTCATTTGATTTTCAAATGTTACCAAATAAAAATGACAGACAAGAAAAAAGACAGACAGGATCTAAAACCATTTATTCCACATGAATATAAGAAAATAAGACGTGATTAACATACTTTCAAAGCACGATAAGCCGATATAGGTCAAAATAATGTATAATCTCATTAAAACAAATAATAAAACATTAGTATCAGAAAATATTAAAGAACAAAAGCTAAAATACAAATTCATAATAAAACAGAAAAACTATTTGAACCACTTTTTCCATCTGTTTTTGTACCAAAATTATCAGGAATACAATAGTAGCAAGAAAATAGTGAACTAGAAGTAATAACACCCGTGAAAATATTGATATGTGCATATAAAAAGAGATTATTTATCTTAAAAACGTTAGATGCTTTTGCCTTTGTAATATCACAAGACAGTCGTACTCAGTAAAAAGCAGGCTTTCCAGATGTAAAGCGAGAAATTCCAGCACCCAGCGACAAGAAACAATCATTTTCATCAAGCCGTTTCCGTGACCACTTCTAAACACATCATGGTGGCGAAACCGATAAGTGCCATAATTGATGATAATCGGCCATGACCTCTGGAAAAAAGATGCTTAATATGGAATTAGGGTGGATACGAAGTCATTATTCAAACGAGAAGTTGTTCTTTCATCATGTTTCAACATGAATGCGAGCCGGATGAATACGTATCGATCCTGAAAATTCTTTCGTCTATCCAGGTTCTTACTGATTCGGAAGAAAGTTGTGAGAGTTACTGATGCATTCATTTATGAATGCATCAGTAACATATTGTAATATATGCATTTTCTGAAAAACCTTGTCAATATAAACTATGTGGAAACAAAATATTAAGTCTCTGAGAACAGGGTGATAGATTAGTCGTTTGAATGGGTAACATGAATCTGATGCATATCGTTGAACAAAATTCAAGCTAACTGACTTATTGAGTACTTTGAACGTTACCGTTTGATAAATTCGAGAAAATACGAAATGAAAAAGTTACTTATAAAAGATAAGATGTTATCGGTTTCATTAATAATGTAGTCTGTAGTAGGAAATATCGATGCAGTTTATGAAAAACAAACAAAATGATGGCTTGTTTTTAAGTTAACAAACATATCTAGACAAAACTTTTGATAGTTTAGAGAGCGAATTTTATGCGGCATAGGGTTTTTTAACACGAAAATTCACTGAACAAATAAAGTTCTATTGATATTTGGAGACCAGATATGTCGAACAAGACTGAAAAAATACTGTCACACTATTGAGAAATTCAAAGGAAGTTCCCAAGTTTCTATATGTGATTAATTAGTGAATGCGAATTTAAAGCTACCGGTGGTAGGTGCACTGAAGATGAATCAAAAGTTACTAAGTAATTAGGCTAAAACTAGTTTTGTCTAAAAAGGCTAACGAGAGCAGAGTTTTTGAAAGTTTACCCTTCCTTTATATATATATAATTAAAATCATTCTCTTAGAAGGAAATGGAGAAAATCATAAAACAATTACCTGGACTGTGATTCAGGAATAATTTCATCAACTACAACGAATAACATAGCTCCCGCAGCAAAACCTAACGCATAAGGCTGAAGTTGTCGGAAGAAATGTACAGCCAGACATCCGACAAGTCCAGCCAAGGGTTCAACAAGACCAGATAACTGTCCATACCTATTTAAAATGGTTACAGATAAGATAGTTTCCGGATGATATAACAAACTGTAAGTAGGGAAATTATTGGATTTACAGAAAGATGTGGATAAAAGCTTAAATTGATGTAAAACAAAAATTGAAGATGGTTTAGGCTTCAGTTTCAATAGTTTTGGTATTAGGGTTCATCACAAGACCCGTGGATGTGCATAAAAACGGAGACTTTCTGTATTAAGGACAAGAGTAAATCTGTGACTGGTAATCATAATTGACTGTTTCTGCCGACCTACTCCTAAACCACAAAAAATCGCTCATCGAAACAGTCGGTGGTTCGGCATACGTAACACACGTACCAACCACCTCAACTGATGAAGTTGCAATTCTTCATGTATTGTTTTGCCATCTCTACTCAGTATTCGTTTCCCAACAACAGCATTGCTTACTCGGTTATCCCAGGATACAAGAGCAATGATTCGAGAACAGCTATAATCGAATACTAATAACCTACGAATATCTTCTACTGTTACTGTTCATGCTTCACAGCCGTAAAGTAGGGCGGGGCGAACTACTGAGCAGAAGACTCATCATTCAGTTAGCAGACGGATATCTCGCCTACTCCATTAGTGACGCTAGTTGGCAAAAGCCAATCGAGCCTTCCGTCTCCTTGCTCAGATTTCGTCAGTCACCAAGCCATCAGCACTGACGAGATTTCTGAGATAAGAGGAGCAGTCAATACTCAACTACTTCAATCCCTTTCACTAGTTCGAGTGCCGACTCAAGCCAGCCTGAAGCGACATTTTGCATTTCGAGGGAGAGAAAAGCATCCCGAAGAAGCTTGTATTGTTGCTCAGGGTAGTCAGAAGACTGCATTTTGTCATCGGTACTTTGACTAAAACTGGAAAAATGTGTATGTAGTTTAGCGTACCTCCAAGCTATGAGACAGGAAAAATTAAGTGCGAAACCAATGAAAACGTATAGTCCTTCAGGATGAAATTTTTAGAACACACGATCTATCCAGGTGTTTTAGTTTTCTGACTTATAACGCAGTTAATTATTCAACTCTTGCAGACTGCTTCTCCTTGAGGGCTCTATCTTTCTAACCCATTGAACAGCTAAGTTTTGAAGACATCAAACGAACAAATCTTACGAAAACTGTTACACCAGGACAGCAAATATTGACGCGAAAGTGTAGGTAACAACGGATATTTTCTAATCGGCAATTTATAAAACTTGGTTTCCAGTTATTAATATGTAGTTCAAATATAAAATGTTATCCTTCGAAAAGTCCGTATATTTAACTCTTAGTGTCTGATTGATAGGAATTTCCTTTCCAAGCTGTCTATAAACTTTAGGAAAAACATGAATTACACAATCATCAGAACTAATAACAGGAGCTCAACTCTACTTCGTGTACATTACCACACGATTGAAAAAACAAAATTGTTGACAATCACTAGCACATGTAGAAAAAATTAATTTTGATGACTGAAAGTTGTAAGAAAGCAGTGACCCTAGGATTACAAGAGAACATGTAATGTGTGCTAATACGTTGAGACCACAGGGCTTGTCCCACCTTCGAACTAATTAATTAGTCCATTTTTTTCCAGTTATTTAGTGGTCTTTTGGCTTTGTCAATAATTTGCGTATAACATGGTCGTGTGGATTGCTTACTTCACTTCTCACATGTACAACTTATTTTTGTCGGGCTATAAATACTTAGTCATGCCTCATCATAGTGAGTTGGCCAACTAGTGTCCTTTCCGATTTACTTCGCTGCTGTCTGAGTAAACGATTGGTTGAAATATACTTCTCCAAGTGAATCCGTATTTGGCTTTAATTATCGCCGTCACACAAACGTGGTTTGCGCAAGAATGACACAGAAATCGAAGACATTTTTTCATGGAATATTCAAGCAAGTAAAAGTAATTCACATTCCGCATTAGAGATGGACAGCTCAAACCAACCAGACATCTGATGACCATTCATTCTTTTGTATGTCAAGTATATTCATGTTTCCGCTGGAATACTCGTGTTTGGCATTAGTCTTTTTATATGAGCACGCGGATACTTCAATTAAATTTTATTAGTATCTAATTTGAAAACCAAGTAATGCAGATTTTCAAGCAGGGTGTAAGCGATACCGATGAGAAAGAAATAAAGGACTATTGGAAAAACAAGCCCTTGGTACTGTGATAATTGATTTAGCTAATGTTCAACTAACAAAGGAAGTTAATTTGTTACGCTTAATGATTATTACATGTACTGTTGGTGAGAAATACCATTTCTGTAGTAAACTTTGCTGACAAGTTTCAACATAACTAAACTCTTCTAACGTCCTTGCAATTGACAGAGCGTTTTTGGAGGTCTAAAATTGAATGATTGCCAAATTTAAAGATATGTGAAAATTTTCAAAAAGCATAAACTGTAGATTAATAAGCAATATGTGTGAATTTACCAAAAACTAGTCAAAAATCCATAATCAGCTGAATATAACGGTAAACTGACAGCCAAACCTTCAGGAAAGTTTTGAATAGCAATCCCAATCGCCAGATTACTAGTGTAGTAAAAAGGTAGAAATGGAAAGATGAGTTAACATACAGTTTATATGCTGACAGTTCAAAGCATTCAGTATACGATGAGTAATATTTTACAAATGACGATCTTTAAGGCGGGAAGAGTTTAATATATTCTACTGCTTCAATATTTCCTTAAAAATCACCACTCAAAGTCAAATCAAACTATATTTACCAGTTATATCTCAAATAGTAACAAATTACTAGTGCAGATTCGTGTTTCACACAACGTAGACCAAAAATTTACAAGAATTAACACCAGTAATCGGTATAAATATTACAACAGAAGTTTCAAAATTTTCGAGTAGCTACACAATCATTCAAAAGAATTATGAATATGTTTCATAATTGCCATACTTCGCAACAGGTAGCCTACTAGGTAACTAGATGTAGGCTATCTGGTTGGGGTCCGCGAGACTTAAGTCACCAATAGTTAGATACATTGAAGGACATGGCTGAAAATCGTTTGCAATAGTGCAAGTGCATCCACTCTTTGTGTTCTCTCAAATTCTAACCTTCTGAATCCCTCATCATCTCTATCTTTCTCGTCCTAAATTTATCTCACTGAATTATACTTTTCGAATCATATCTTCGAACCCTAATCTTCTCCATTACTGCTGATACTTTTACTATCGCTACCACTATGTGATTTGAAGTGACAGTTGCGTCCCTGTGTTAATGCGGTACGGCAACCTGAACTGATGTGCTTGCGTACGAAGTTCTGCGCTGTATCTGTTTGTCTATACTTTGCAACAACACAAAGTCAAAATGTACAGTAATAATATGATTTCCGAGATGGACTAGTTTTGCTCAGTTAGATGTATTTCCTCACCTTGATATTACTGAATGAGCTTATGTAGTGCCAATTATATATGGTTTGAGTTCTGATAAGAAAACTACGACTTAAGTTTCTGGAAAACGAATGGAGACTTTCGAAGCAACGGTGGTTGAATATATCTACTTCTCATACACAATCAACAATCGAATGCTACTTTAAACAATATGTAGTTCCCTTCATAAGTTATGATTCGTAAACAGAGAACCAGTTTTCGTTATATATTCAAATGATGGTTAAAGGCATTTAAGGAAAATGCAACACTCACCATGCTTGAGAAAAAGTAACTCTTGAATACTTTCCAAGTCCACCAAATGCAATACCGACTGCTAAACCTTCAGGTATATTATGTACTGTAATCGCTATGATTAACAACCATAAGCGACGTGTTATTACTACTTTTGGAATTTTTGGCTCTTTATTATTAGTCTCTAATGATGAAGACGACGAATAGGCTTGCAAGGAGTTTTCAGAACGGTGCCTGATATTGGATTCCAAACAATCATTTATCAAACAGTTACGTTGCTTTAAAGAATTATCTACAGGGCATATAGTAAAAAATGTGAAAACTTTGTAATTAGTTCGAAAGTTTCCAGAACTAGTCAAAACGCATATAAACGCTAGTATACCAGGACACCATAAAGTGCCACATTCATAAAACTATTACTGCTACTACTACTTAAGTCCCTGTGAAATTACGGGTCTTATCTAGATAACTTGATTTCACCGATCTGCCTATGTGCCACGTTTTATGATGGCTAAATATAAATGAGAAGCTAATAATTGAAAAAAGTCCATGAAGTCACTGACAAGTGGACTTAGTCAAGTCGATAGAGGTAGGCTACCTGGTTGGGGTCCACGAGATGATAATAATCGATGGTTAGAGACCCTGAATGACATAGCTCAAAACCAGGTGCATTCATTGTTTGTGTTCTCTCAAACCCTAGACTTCTTAATTCTTCATCACTTTATCTTTACCTTTTTAAGTTTATTTCACTAGATTCTACTTCTTGAATATCTTCTAATCCTAACCTCTCCGACTACTGCTAATACCTGTTTACTACCTCTAGTCACGTACAGTAAGTCGAAAGGTTAACTGGATATACTGCCACGTTAAGACTTTTTACCTAGTTCGAGATAAAATTTTAGCCTTATATATATATATATATATATATATATATATATATATATATATTGTTGAGCAGATGGTTTAAGGACGTAACGGAATTACCCTCTAGCCGTTATATTTAATTATAATCTAGATTGGATTGTACGTATCAATAACAGATAAATATGTCGCAAGACTGGCGTCAAGCTGAGTATGGACATTTTATTAGTTTGACTTGTCCCAAGGAACGCGAAATCGATATATTTAAGAGTATATGTACATCAAAAAATTTTTATACTGACATATAAACAGCACAAATCCAAAATTTTCAGACATTACGTTATGATTTTTACAGTCCCGGAATTGAGCGATTTACTTTGAGATGTTTTTTTGTCAAAACATAGATCCCCAAGAGGAATATGAAAGCACTTGAGTATTACTAAAAAGTCTTACGATTTCTATTGACATTCTGTTTATGTTATATTCAGTCTAGGTCAACGATACGCACTGTTGTGCCCACACTAGGATGAAAAAGCAGTCAATGGATTACTGGCTTTCGAATGATATCCGACTTGTTATGGTTCTTGTTATTTATAAAAAAATTGAAGTTCAGCATACAGGTAAATTTGCAAAAAAATCATAAAAATCATAAATGAGACTGAACCTTAGGAAACTTGTATTGTCAGAGGTAGTCAAAAATCTTCGAAAAGTTTAGGAATGTTGTATATTACACTATCATTTATGATCTATGAACTATGTGAATGAGCAATGATAGTAGTAAAAGAGGAGAAATAATAAGTATCACTGTGATAGACATAACTATGCACACCAAGATACAAGCAAGTCGCAATCGTTAGTTTTGCAAAGCATTGATGACTGTAAGGTAAGCTGTAGAGTATGAAAAGTTGTACGATACAGAGACACAGTAACTAATTTTCTTAAATGCTTATTAATGATATATGTGTGATTCAAGACATTAGCAGTCTCTACAACACTTGGATTCAAAAAGATGTGAGTCATTAGTTCAAGTTCTTCATTTTCTTAAAAGCTGATGCGCCGAATACGAAATTGCAATACAACCTGTTCTGAATGATAGGTAATATATTTAAGCCAAGATACGTAAAAATTGTCAGGATGAACAAATACAATCAGAACTTTTCAATGACATCATATTATACATCATCATCCAAAAACAGTCTTCTCATAGGATTTGGTTATCTGACGTGATTTTTACGAACAAAAAAGCAGGATTTAAAAACACAATTTTGTGACTTACCAATATCAGAGCTTGGTTTAGGAACTGAGTAATGAAAAGAATCATTACTTGCCACAGATGCTGGTTCGAACCACTAAAAATCACCAGAAATGTTATAGTAAAAAGAGATCGCAATACAATTACTCGAGTGTTCTGCTCAGCAGGCAAACACTCTAAAACCAAATGCTTGTAGAATGCCTTTGACGACTGTTGCATTTCAATATAACTTTTGAATTGTACACTAATTGAAAAGCATTGATTCAACAGTGAAACAAATAATCAATTTATTGGTTGTAAATGCTTAGAATTTAGCAGGAATTTTCCGAAACAAGTTTTTTTTAAGCTGTTATTTTTTCGAATTATTAACGTATATAGAACAGCTTTACAGAAACCAACTACTCATAGTTCTAAGATCGATAAGGGAAGTTAACCCAATTATGGTCGGAGAACTATGCTAACCAGTGTAATCTACATACATGTACAATATTTTAAACGAACTTCAAACAAAATTAAGGAGTTAACTGTCAAAGTATTGTGTTTTTGGTCGATATACAAAAAAAAATCGGTAAAACAAGTGGGACCTGACGAAAAGTGTAGGCTGAAATCTCTTTAAAATAATGCGAAAGCTACAGTTCTTTTGATTCTGTTTGTATTCGTTTCTAGCGCAAATAGCAGAAGAGTATCGCTTATCAATTATTGTCAACGAAGAACTACACACGAGTGTATATTGAGATCAAGTTCCTACTCGTCAAAAAAGCTCAGAGAGAGAAAATCAACAAGAGAAAGAACATAGAATGGGAAATAACGACGAAAACAATAGATATTAAAGTATGAAAACTGCAGTGAGTAAGAATAAATGCAACCAAAAACGTTTGAGAAAGTTTTCAAGTAAATATTTAGAAGAAAGTACAAAATACATGCACAAATACCACAGAGCTCCTGTCATTCAGTGTCTACAATAATTTAGTACGAGTATCAAGTGCGGATAATGGCTTAAGTCAAGGTTGAATAACTTCAAAAACTGATATAATATCTTGGTATTATCACTACTATATTCCCTTAAATCTAATTCCGTGTCAGACGGAATCAAAATGTAATCAGGTATCCTCACCACCTCAAGTAGTTATCTGACTCAGCTACACGAATATCCTTCAGAGACTTCACTTCATTCGACTAGTCCGCAAAGTCAGAAAACGGCTTGGAAGCGGATGTAATTATATCTCAAAAAACCCAATTTAAATGTAAGTGAATCAAGGGGAGAAAAATGTTAGTATATTTATAGTTTTATATGAGATTTTAGTGCACTAGCGCCGATTCGGTAATAATCGGTAATCCGGCTGTTATACTTGATCATTTTACATGGTGTTATATAATTTACCTATGCATTTTTCCTTAGGTCTCATTGTGTACGAAAACTGCTTCGATGATACCCGAAATCAAATACTTACATCCTACGTGTTTTCTATTTTCATACATCATGTTTCGCACTCCATACATCTATACAAGGAAAATTGCTAAGGAGTACATTCACCCTTTGATTAACGGATAGATTCGTCCACCTACATCACAGGTGGCACAATTTAACAAAATCGATGTGCGGTTGATCAGATAACAAGACACCGAATGTTCAGCAGGCTTTCGATATGATGAAAGCGATAAATGAACTCAAATACTCAAGTAGACCAGCGGATGTAAACTTACTACTCGGGGGCCCTATTCAACAATGTATGTATGGATTGTTAAGCGATGATATAACTTGTCATTAGACAGAATATTAATTGAAAGCATTATTCACAGAATGAAATAGGTTACCTGTGTAGGCAAAAAAGTATCTACTAATCCAATAAAAACTGCACCGAAGATCAATCCACATATAACTGGGAAGACACAATACGCACCTAAACCTAAGTCAATTTTAGCCATGTCCAATGCTGGCTCTAACAGGGACCAGAATGATGCAGCTAACATAATCTATTGATGCAAAATTAAAATGATAAATGCAACATTATTGTCAACCATAAGGTAGTCAAGCCTAGGGGTTTTTTAGCATAATAATTTTAATGAAAACTTTCTTGTTCGGCCGAATCCAAAAACAGTTCCAAGCATTACATTAAGAATAACCTATAAAACTTTGAAAATTTACATACAGATAAAAAAGCTAATGCATGCTGGATAGTAGGCACAAATAAGTATTATAGCAGTCTGACCAACCTTTAGTACCTCTCTTAAAATTCCATAACAGTCTTAGTCTAATATTTACCATCTTTGTTTAACTAAAGTCCTGGGATCGATTGCAGGTAGTAGGCTCTTGAATACACACTACTGATGAGTCGCATACTTGGACGAAACGACGGTTCGGTGCTTCCAGCTTTTGAATGGAGGTCTAACTTTGATCAGTTCATTATTTCAATAAAATCTATTTAAGATGAAGTCAAAAGGGAAAAAAATTAGACAACGAACTTCATCTGACTAACTTTCAGATCTTATCGCTATACAGGAACTTTGACTTATTGCAAGAGATGATATTAGTCATCCCAGTTTTAGAATTGTACGAAATAACGTATACACAGCCAGGCAAAAGAGATATTGGAAATGATTTGCATTACTAGGCGATTATATGCTCTAGAAGTGTATTACACTGTAATTTTAAACAAAATAATGCGCCGACTAGGTTTTCTTTTTAAAAACTCCTTGTACAAACAATAATAAAGCTAAACAATTTAAGGTGATACAATGATATATTTTGTTTCATATTGTTAAAACTCAACAGATTAGGATGATTAAAGTGAAAAGCAGTAAAACTTACTCCAGATGAGAAACCCAAACTGCCATCAAGAATCTGATGCTGAGACAAGGAATGAAAGGTAAGGATAAAGATGGTAAGTAGAAAACAATCATCAAAAAATTTCAATCATATAAAGTAAAATAGTAGTATTTCAGTCTTTAAGAAAATTTTGTGTATCAGTCTCTATTTTACAAAACAAATTATACAAAGTTTTGTATAACATAAATACAAAGACCATGTGATTGGTACAATTTAAACCATTACACAGAGGAACTTGACAGGAAGAAAAGTCTCAACGCTAATAATCAATAGTAATCAAGGATTAGTAAACGGAAAATTTGGTTTCGAAAATAATAATTAGGAAATATCTATACCACTGCAAATAATCCCGAACTGTTCCTTAAAGCTTTCAAAATAGATAACTGTCATCGCACGGACATAAAACAGAAATTCTATATTTTCTAATACAGGTATATCAATCATTAAACAGGTTTATTGACTGATGGTATATCTTAATGCCGTTCTATCGCTAGCAATTTTCCGATCTACTCTTATGCTAGCTAGTAAGACAAATAGTAGGGAGTTTTGATGAAGAATCTTCCCAACCAAATAGAGAAAACAGCATACAAGATAATAATATCCGGGACGATTATAGGAATATTTCTAGTTAGATTAGATATTTATTGATGAATAATAATACAGCTCGAACATGGGATAAAACAAACCAATTGTATATATTGAGGTGTATGGGACCAAAGTGGATGGATAAATTATGATTTTTGAAAACAAAGTTTAATCAATCATTAAAAAGTGCTTTAGCGATCACAAATGAAATAATTAGATGTAAAAATATTTGAACTAAAAATAAACTGTTCCATAGTCAGTAAATAGACAAGACTTTGAAACTAACTGAAAATACATGTACGATTTTAAAAACTGCAATGACAATGTGGAAATTAAGAGAATTCCTTAAAAAACTAAACAAATTTGTGTTCTTCCACAATTTAATCAAAACATACCTTTATATTCATCGAAAAACCAGAAACAATAAAACAAAATACAGAGCCAATCGCAGTTACAAACCAAGTCAAACCAGTGCCCAGTAGAGTTTGTACAAACGGAGAAGCATCCACAATCATGATTACGAAAAACAATTGGAAATTTTTGTAAAACCACTAGGAACGGTATCTCACACAACGATCTGGAATTTGAAAAAAAACAGAAAAACTGATGAGATTAAGTTTCAGATTGTTACAAAAAACTCCACCAAATGATCTACTTTTATACTAATGAAGTAAGAGTTACATTCAACGTCGGTCAATTGAAGTATATTCAATGAATAATAATTATTGGAAATAGCATCAAAGAACACGTGAACTGCGAACGCTAGTTTTGAAAGTAGTACGGCCGAGAGTGGCGGGAGGTCGCCCTTCCTTTCGAAATGCTCATTTGGCCACGTGTGTACAGAGATTTCCAGAGAAGTCCTGCTCACCTCCTGCCTCATGAATAAAGCGTTGTTTACGAATACCCAGGGATTAAGCTAGTTGGTTGGTAGGTATGAAGTATTAATCTAGGAGGATCAGAAAACCCAGATTCGAAATCGATTATGCAAATAGGCTCCAAAGGGATCAAAGTGAGTGTGAACCCAATGTTAATCACCAGCTACCATGTAACCCTATGTTCTAATGTTAATCCACTGCCTTGTGGATTAGAAATTAGACAGTGGATTCTTAAGAAAACCACCTGCACCCGGACAGAATACCAGCCTATACGAGAATTTAATGATTATTGTGGTAAATAAATATTTTGGTTGCCTATTGTACTAGTAATCGTGTCTAAATTCCAAACAAATAAACACAATGAGACAGTCATCACATATATGACACTGTACGGATCGTCAGGTTGTATCTTGAAATGACCGAAAGTGGAAATAAGGTATTTTTGGATTTCAACCTAATAATCTAGGAGTTGAGTGACAGTTATGAAACCTGGTGGTTTTCGGTTCAATCCTTGATGAGATTATGTGTGGACTTCTGAGGAGTCTGAAATAAAGACAAAAAACTATCTAGTGCTACTTGGTTTTTCAATAGCAGCCCATCTACTCTCAAGATGTAAAAAATATTAATTCTATAACAAATCCGCACACTTAAGCAATAAATACACAATGAAACAATACTAGACATGAAAATTTTTCAGTGTTTAAGAAGCGATTCTTTGTTAAATGAATAGAACAGCAAGAATTAGAGAAATACTCATTTTATTTCAAAAGGTATAAAAAGTATAAAAAATAATCTGCCATACAAAACTACATCATATAAATGCAAGTAAAAATGGAAGCCAAAACAAAATATTTCCTTAGCAAAAATAGTTATGAAAATGCATCACATATCGGTTCATCTGGAAAATATTAAGAATCTGTCTATTGTTGCAAGCCCTGGATAAGCCAACAAGAGATTTGTTCTAAGTACTCAAAACCAAAATGAACACCGATATTACGATAAACATCTAAACGACGATATACTGCATGGCCAGTTGGAACAGTTAGTGTCAGTTTTGAAGAACAATCAGCGCATTGGGCAACTGAACCACCATTTGCAATCAGCAACTCCTGTATTCCACCACCTACCAAACATTTGGGACATTGAAGATCCTATCAAAGAAAATAAGTGTAGTAAGTTAACTGAAATGCAGATACTTGTTTCTACCCAATTAGTTATAATTGAGAATTTAAAAAACATGTGATCGAATTTTAAAACAATTTTCATCACAACAGAAAAGGCATTAGGGATTTACACAAGAAATGGTAGAGAAATGACAAGCACAAGTAGACCACTCGCAAACTAAACTAATGTATACATGATTAGTTGATACAACTACTATAATGTATGCAAAAAAGCGAAATTATTGCCAATGTATATAGGTGGTGATATACAAATATTACTAATTCGGTATTTTGAGACAACAAATTGTGAAAAGAATACTGTATATAATAAAAAACAAATTATTCATTGGCTTATTGGCAGTACCTTGCAGAAAACGCTTAAGTGAGATAGTAGAGTTAATACGGAGACAAAAGTGAAGGTTAGTCAAAAATTCGCAATCGATAAAATTTGTATGGGCGGCAAAGACAGAGATCTATTAACATACGTCATAAACAGAAAGTATTTTCACCTTATTTCGAAGCTAAAAATGATGTAACATATAGTTCACGATGAAGACAATAACTTATGCATACAACACGACATAGAGATAAAAAATTCACCATGTGCAGTAATTAGCAGCAAAGAAAAGTTACTAAAGTGATAAACACATAATGATTAGTTATTTCAGCAAGATGTACATCATAAGAACTCATTAAGATGGAAAAAATTGCATCAGGTAAAAAACATATACCTTAGGAAGACATAAAAAGGATGATGCGGAGGATGTAATGAGACCTAATGCAGATTAAAATAGTAGCTGGAAAGAATACTCAGCGATGTCGAAATATGTCCCTCAAGTATTTGTACATACAAGTGATTTCTTTGTGAGATATGGTTAGAATTTGGAAAATTAAGCTATCCGGTGCATAGAGGTTACGAGTCATTATTCAGTAGACCGAAAACTTTTGGTACAGCTAACATCACATTAATTAAACGTTAAGAAAATTAAAATCACAGCTAACCAGGTAATTTACGGTATTAGAAATTTTACCAAACAATTAACGCAATAGAACTTAACAAACCTGTAAACAATGTTGAAGTGAGAACTGTTCAAGCTGTTGAACAAGTACTTCTTCTAATCTATTACGTGGATAAACTGTACGACAATGTGGGCATATCCAAGCCCAATAACCTGATTGTCTAGTTTCAGCATTCATCGGATCCATGGATGCTGTTATCCAAACAACGTGTATATCACGACAAACATCTATATCTCGCGTAAAATTACAAATCGGGCAAGCAACCTCTGGCAGATAAACCAGTAGAGAACGAATAGCATTTATTTCAAAAGTATAATTATTTGGATCATCGTTCAACGGACAATCCCTAGTCATATGAGGAGCGATCCAAACGGCTTCAGGGGAAAATTCTCCAACATTGATTAAGCGAAGTAAATCATGTCTAATACTTTCAACTTGCAATTTCGTAGTTGGCTCCAGGCTTAAAACCTTTTAAAAAAATGGTGGGAAAATATACGAATATGTATAAAGAGAAGTAACGAATAAAATACTCAACTTCAAAATTTACAGCTTTTAAAAAAGGAAAACAAGAACTACGTAATGATTGCATACCGAAACTAGGCTTTAAAGAAGACAGGTTTGGATTCGTGAGAAAATTCATCAAGGAACAAAAACTGCGATTCATGGCTTTCAGAAAGAGTACCCTAGGAAAACACCTAACATAAAAATCGATAAATAAAATTATTTTAAACTCTTCAAACTATTTTAAATTCAAAAAGACTGTTTGAAATATCAATCTTGGAGATGGATTATTTATTACAAGTAACTAAATCTGCAGGTGCCCATAACCGTCGCTGACGTCAACATAACCAGTAATTTAAAACTACTTTTTATGTAGAGCATCCAGTTGAGCGCAATCGACAACCTGAACCGAGAGATTCATTGAACAGATTATTTAGCGATAAATGACCAAACGAATAAAAATTACCAAAGATTATCTTTTTGTGCAAACAAAGTAAATAGATATGACAAAATCTTCTTTACAAAAAAAGGAAAGGATGCAGGATGATTAAGAGTTGGAATAAAAGATGTATTCTTGAGAAATCAAACGATGGCTAATCATCACCTAATATAAATTATTTGACACGTGTGCATTAATTTCCAGAACACCTTTAAAGAACAGAACAATTTAATCTAAATTTCGACAGTACTAATTACAGAGTTTCTACGTACGGTAACAAATACATCAGTAGTTTGAGTTCAATAAAATCAATGACGTGTTTCAGAAGAACAATCAAGCTTTTCGCATACACTTGATTTGCTGATTAGTTGATTCAATAATAGGATGAAAATTTTTTTTCCAGTATCTTAATTTCAGAAACTGTCTGATGATGGACAAGCAATGGAAGACACTTAAAGTTACCTGAATTTCAATAGTTATAAGATGGGAATTAAAATACATGAACATTGCTGTTAGCCGTTCCTTTTTTTAAAAGTTATGCCCAAACACGTGAAAACATTTAAGAGTAGTTAAATATTTTATGATGTATTTATTTCGAAAGCAACATACCTCACATAGTGATTTAACAAAATCAAGAAGCGGAGTAAAATTCAGGTTATAAATCGCCTGATGTGCAGGCAAAAGAGGTAGAACTAGGTTGGGATTCGAATTTTGATTGTAGGTAGCATCCAACTCTATACATGAACCAATCGATTTTTCGGCAAGGTAGGCATTTACAATATTGTCATTCCTACGTATGTTTAAACCATTATTTATTTGACAGGTCCTATAACTACTAACTGATGGTTCAGCATTCTTCATTAACTCTGGATCTATCCATGCAGCTTTCCGTTGCAGTCGAATAATCAGATTGTACAACTCTGGGGCCAACTGATCCTTGAATAAACGTTCTTGATATTCCTTGACTCCAGGAGAAACAGTAGCATCCGACTTGTATGGCGTTGTTTCAGCCTCAAGTACACGTTCAGAATTTTTTTTCACGCTATTATCAGGTTCAACAGGAGATACTTCTCGTTCATTCTAAAAAATATACAGAATATTTTATGATCGCTATTAAACGGAAACTGTGATGGAAAACCAAGCGAAATCGTCAGCATATAATTGCGACTTAGGAAGATGGGTGTCCACCATAAAAACTTAAAAAGTTGACATAAACCTTCATAAAAGGTTACAAACTGACGTACTATAAAAAAAAATTGAGAAAAAAAGACATACCAAAGTACAATCAACGGACCCAATTAAACGACGATGCTCGTTTCGCACAGCATTGTAAATAGCTATCAGATATCCAGCTAGAAAACTTTGGAATTTACTTCTTAAACCACGTGTCTCAGGTAAATAACGTGCCAAGTGCCAATGCATATCAAGTTCGGGATCGGGCAAATTAACGTGTTCCTTTATATTGTTTTCCTTATCTTCAGTATGAGGATGAGATTGATGTTGAATAATTAACACGTTACTCCATTCAACATCTTTACCATCGACTAGATTATCCACGGAGGCCTGGAACAATAATTAAACATATGGTATAAAATTCATTTAATCGATAAAAAGATCACGGTAATATAAGAATTATCGTTGTACTGATGATGGGTTGGATAAAAACAATGTATAAATTGGCTTGCCGATAATAAAAAATGAACACTTATTCTATCATATTAAATACAAACCAGCTTTCGTGTCATCAGGTGATTTTTAATTAAGGTGCTCCACAAGAATTTCATTAAAATTAAGTTGAAGTTTTTGAATACCTTATCACCATGAACTTGGATATAACAAGTGCAAAAGGATCGATGAAAAATTCAAAACTTCAAACAAAACTAAGATGTATTTTTACTCCGATAAAATGTGCACATAATGAATAATTATTACTAAATAAAAATTTGGATAACCGAAAAGGTAGGATACGAATGAAGGTATCACGATAGTCAGTCAGTTGCAACGTCGAACTTCGTACGTATGTACATAAGTTCATGTTGCCATACCACATTAGCACAGGGACGCAAATGGCAAATCAAATCCCATAGTGATAAAGATAGTAGAGGTATTAATGGTAATGAAGAAGACTAGGGTTCGAAGATATGGTAGAACCTTCAGGAACATAAGTTCCAGCCAATATAGCTCGGTTGGATCATCACGATAGGCAAGCCCGACCACCAAGTCAAGGTAGCAGCTTCGGTCGGGGTATCACGATAACTCCACTGGAAATAGTAATTATACGCAAATAATTAGCTTACTGAATTGAGAAAAACACTGCTTCAATCAGAGCATAATTTTTAGAAAAAAGGATGATATTCGTGCAAATATTTGCATATATTTCCGAAACAGAAAAAATCGAGATCTTGGAGAAAAAAAACAGTCCCTATACTACCGCTAAACCCAAAGAAGAGAGTAAATAAAGAGTATTCTAGTGCAAAATTTCAAAACCATAATCGATAGAAGCAATAACGAGATTACATCAACAAAAAGTTATTTATCCGAATAATTTACAGTCTGCTAATGTTAGACACTACCTAAGATCTAATGAGCTTTTTCTAGACGATACTAACTACAGCTTGAAGGAAACATTCAATGAAGCCTTTCAAAAAACGTTCGTTTAAGGTGTAATGCATGTGATACTTCTTTACAACAATATTCCGCGTCCAATTCGAATTCAAAATACAATACTTTCGTTTGTGCTTATGTCATACTTTCCGAGTTCAGTAGTGGATTACACGTCACCACTAGAGTTTGAATCGAACATTCCTTGGTATTACTACTTCGTATACGGGATACTATTGGTATGTATTATTACAATATTACTAAGTGATGAATGATATTATGACGAACTAAAAACCGTTATATGCGAATTCATAGGCAACTAGTTCAAAATCTTATGCTAGACATATAGATAATCAGTCACTTGATGAATAGGATGGTTTCCGTTAGCTCGAGACTTATTCTTCTCGGATTTCATTTCAGCTAACATAGCATATGTGTAGTGGAAGAATGTCCATTGTCATTGATTCGTGAAATGTTATTTTATTTTTGCAGCCACATGTCAAAACTTGTTGTATACAACTCGCAACGTGGTTTATTATTAGTATGCAACGGTGTCACCTATAAGTTACTGTTGAAGAGAAGTGTCGGATCCCAACGCAAGACGCGATCAAAGTGTTTTGAAAACTAAAAGATATGTGGAAGAAAAAAACTAACAATCTGATTGTTTCGCAAACGGAAGTCTGAAGATGAGGCATGCATGTTTTGCCAGTAAAATGTGTCTTCTCCCAATAAATCACTGATTCCATCTGATTCTAATGTATTCATTCATTACGCTACTGATGTCATGACGGTAAACAGTTTATAAAAGACCTAATCTTATTATCTCACAGAGCAACTTTTACTGTTAAGCACAAACAAAACGAACAAATACTGACGTCATTAATGAGTGAAATCATAATTTGTTCCACCTTAGTGCGGCATAACATGCATGGTGGTGACTCAAAATTTGTGAAACATGCCTCCTGGCGATTTCTGTCAAAGACAGTATTGGACATCTGACAAAAATACACACAATAAGTGACCGGGAAAGTCAATTAAATGATTAACCGGAAAATCGAAAACTCGTAACTAACTTTTACACCAGCGTAATTTGCTGAGTCCATCCAAATTAACTGACGCCAGCTATTTACATATTGCAAGTCTATGTGAGTGAACAAAGTTCCTTGGCGTGTACGTAATAATTGCGTAAAATAATCTACGCGCGCTAGAGCTTCAGGCAATTCAATTCTATGTGTGGATATGATTAAGCGACTGAAATTTGCATAGATTACATCCACGTGGAAATGACTTAATTCATCCACCAATTTAAGAAATACCTGAGGGGCAAAGTGAAGTAAAATATTATATATACATATATATGATTTTGTACCACTAGTTTAAAATATCGGAAAAGTATAAAGAGACAGCTAGTATTCTTTTAAGTACTGAACACAAGTCAACAACCCAGATTGAATAAAAACCAGATATTTCGTGAAGTTGTGCTCCATAAACTCGATAGTTTGACTGAGAAGTATTTAATGTCATGAATAATATTTAGAAACATAATGAATACAAAAAAATATTCAGTTCACTAAGAACAAGGTTACAAAAAGCTACGAAACCTATCCGCTATCTCAAAACCTGATCTTTCTTTCAGTCAGTAAAGATTGTTTTTACCTGTCCATGAGTTTCATACAAGTCGTTTGATTAACAAGTCAGTTTAATTAATTACGCAATGATTATTTCTCACTGATGCTTGTAGCATTACAATAATTGTATGCGCCATTTCCATTGAGAATGAAAAGACAGATTACAGAATAGTTCAACAACTCATTTTATCATCTAAATGCTAGTAACTGGGTTGAAAACTAGGTATTTCGCGACTGTTACAGAAATCAGTCCAAAACAAAGGGTAAGGAGGCAAATTGATTGATGAAGTAGTGAATCGTTACCAACTAAGGTAGTTAGGACATGTGTTATGTATGCTCAAACACAGATTATCCCAGTCGGCGATGTCTGGTGCAGTGCTGGAAAAAAGATAGGGAAGTCCAAACCAGAACATGGTACTAATTAATGAAGTCACTGATAATTGGACTGAACCATAATGATAGATGTAGACTACCTGTAGATTACCAAGTTCGAGGTTAAAACTAACTGACCTAAGATGAATTTCTGACCGAATTTTCCCGAAAGAATGATGAAATCGACCAGTGAATCACCAGAAATAGTTACTTTTCCAATGATTTTATTAGAATATAAGCATTTTATCAGAAAAGAAACGCGTACCTTTTTCATTAACTTTTGAACAGTGCGTCTTAAAGCAGGATCATAGAACAATGAACGCGGTGACCGAAGCCATTGGTAAAAATAAATAATTTGTTCATCGGCCAAAGGATTTTGGTATTGTGTAACATCCCGAACCCATGCAAGAACCATATTGCTTAATATTTTAGGAATGTTTGAAAATCAAATAACAAGAAATGTAGTTAGTGTTAACAACAAACTCAACGGGTGGACAAATGAATTTCTGACGTATTGTGACTTAGTGTAAATCAGTTCTCTAGAGAACAAATAACTAAATTAAGTTAACAAATTGAACAGAGGAACAAATAACAATATTTAATGCAATCAAAACAAGTCTACTTACGCTAATTTTACGTCATTCGGGTAAAATATCCTGTGTGAGACTGACTTGAGTACTTGTTGATAGCTGAATTAGTGTGAAAGAACTGAGTTAATTGATATGAAATTTTAGTCAGTCAGTCAGTTACAACGAGGAACGTCGTACGTACATACACCAGTTCATGTTGTCATACCACATTAGCACAGAGTCAGTAACATATGTTCCCGCAGGTTCAACCACTGAAAGCAGTAACTCAACGTCTGAGGGCGAAGTCGTACTGCTGACTGTAGAGAGGGGTTCCCCTCGGACAACAGCATCTGCAGCGACGCTGCCGTCTCACTAGAAAAGAAGGGGTTAGGAAGGGTTGACCATAAAAATGTCACACCTCACCTTACTTCACGGATTTCCGTCTTCGGTGGTAAGGCTTTTGAAAAGAACGGAGCTAACACGTCAAAAAACGTCTCATAAAAGGCCGTGTGTGACCGACCTTAAGCAGTCTTCTATTAGGCTCTTTTTGATCACGTTCCAAAGTCCGCAAGACCAGTGCTAATCTACCGTATTTTTCAGGTTCCTCAAGCAACATCCTTCCACGGTGTGGGCAGCCAGGAAGCGAAATTCACCCTAATACCTGTAACAGTACACGACTCCGAACTGATCATAGTCAAATCCTTTCTACACCTCCTAACATCTCTCTAAACTGCACTACCGACCTCCGCTGATGCAAATGACGTGAGATTGGGATAGAGTTATCTACGATTGTTTGGATAAACCGTTGAAATTGAAACTTTTTTTGTTAAGCGCTGAGTACTGAAAGCTTCAGCCCATTATCTTTCATTATACATGGAATAAGATTTCCGAGGTTTTTAATAGTTTTAATAAGGAATTTGTAGTTATTGAAAACAGTGTTAATTGCTATTACTTATTTCCAGTGAAAGTTATCAAGTTCGACAGGTATAATAGGTCCTTCAATGTAACTGAAATGTTAATTGCTACGAGTCAGGCATTTATGCAACTAATCTCAGAAACAAATCAACTATCAAGAGGACTAAAGCCATGCATTTCTATCTCCTGATGGTTTATTATACATTCCAAACATTGAACTACTTTACAGTCTTATGGGTTTCTAAAAATTCACAATAAAAGACAACAGCTTTTAGAAACTTGTAACGTATGTACAAAAAAATCGTCACAACTGCTAGATTTCAGCATCAGTGAATCCTACATCAAATACCTTTAAAAATCACTGGTGTTGACTTATCGATTTATTCGCTCTTGCAGGTACGATTCAAGGCCTCAGTGTGCATATACGTGAACAGTCTGATCGGATAGTACAAGAGTTACTTCACAGATATTTAGGCATTGTATGTACTGAGTGTACGCGAGTGCGCCTTTTTTGGCTTACTGAAGATAGCACTTGTCGCTTTACAGACCATTCAACGCGTCGGTTAAGATGCGAAGACTTTGGAAACTGAAGTATAGGGTTGACAAAGGTCAAAGATAAGTCAATCAATAAGCTAGTTGGTGAAATGAAAATCATTTTTTCCCACAGCCTGTATTACCAGTCGCAGCAAAAGTGGACATCTGTCTCTAGGATACAGGTTGAAATTCATTCACGGTTAATTCATCTGAATATCTTTAAGTTTCAAAATTTAAGCATATTTGAATGCGTTCATGGAGTTTTAAGTGTTGAGATGAATACACTACTAAAGACGTCAGTAAAAAACGTCGTTTATCAGGTTTTAGGAATACTTTAATGTTCCGCTTGGTACGCTGAACATTATCAAATCTGCAAAATCTGAACAAGTTGGTTTTGAGTTTTCTCGACAGCGTGAGCTTTTTGAGGGCCTGATGAAATTCGAAATCCGTAGTCGATTATCTACAATCACCGAGTACTATGATAATGTTACTATCTGCCATGTGAATAGTATGGAAAGGAATGTGATATCTAAGAATATTTAACGATGAGTCGGAATACGATATATACTGTTTATATACTACATTTTTCTTACCGAAGAATACGAAAGGCAGCGCTACATGCGGCTGTCTCATCGTAGCTTGTAATATGCGTACCTAAATTCACACCTTGATTTAACTGTTCTTTAAGTGTCCTATCTGCGGCAGATAAACGATCGAATGACAACAGTGTAGCACCTTCCAGTTCCGGAATACGGTTCGCTACTATCAAAGTGTTGACAGCCAAGTTGGTGAATTCCAATTCAACATTAACATAAGGATAAAGACCAGGTCGATTGATTTCAACCACCTAAAAAGGTATATAAAAAGACCTTGTAATCAAAAGGAAGCACTAAAGTATTTTATCTGTAAAGGACATTGATCTTAGTGCTGCAGTTTTAGCGCCAAAAAGTATATACGAATACCGAGGAACTCCAGAACGAGTAACGTGCCTGAAATAATTAATTGATAAAAAATACAATTTAAAGCGCTTTGCTCAGCGATTGAGGTGGTGGCTTCAAAGACTACCACTTGATGTCCCAGTAACCCTACATATCGTCAACTGACACGAAGATTCTTTCTGATAGTGGAACAGCTAGTTACATCATAATAAATTATCAGTGACTAAACTTGAGGTAGATGAGGAATTGCATAAGCTGTGTTTACTAATGTAGTTACGGAGCGCTCATCGCCCATAAATTTGCACAATTTCGCATCACAATAATAATGACCAATTAAATACTTAAACACAAGACATTGAATCTACGCTAGTCATTTGATGCTTAAAATAAAACAATTGGAGTACATTTCTGAACCTGAGACCTAGTGTCTGGGATTCGAGAACAAACATTCGTTCCACTTCTTCACCTACAATACTGCAATTTCGCTAGCTGAGCGAAGTGCGTTGATCAAACTATTTTTAATGTGAACTCTAAAAAGCGATCAAACGAAGCGGTAGATCTTGTATATTAACTGGAAAAAGGCAGTTACATCACGGCATAAACTTACTCCAGATTCTTCCATTTCAAGCAATAGGCGTTGATCATCTGTTTCTTTTCCACCCAAATCTGGACGGCCAGAAGATGAACACCAAAGAACGTGATTATGCTTGACCAAATGCCTTGCGTAAAATAAATCACAACCCAGTTCAATAGCACTTGTGGAGCTGGCAGGAGGTTGAACATCTTGACTAGTGGCAGTCAACGAAACGGGTAAAGGAGCTTCAGAAACTGGCACATTTCCGACAGGAATGTGTAGGTAACGCGCCAACTCCAACTGACGTTCGAGACGTGCTTCAGACTAAAATGAGTTCAAAAGGTTCGTACTTTGTTCTTGAAGAGTGCTACATTATTTAGCGAATATCTTCCTTAGAATTACTTCTGTATTCGAAATGAACGAATTTACATAAACCTTACTAATTAAACAATTAAGAGTAGAAGTGATATGGTTCGACACAAATTGATGAAAACATCAACTGGGCTCACATGCGTGGAAATAAGTAAACTCTTCATATGGAGTTTGTTAATAATATCCTTCTCATGATTCGTTTCATCATTCACGTTTGTTGATTATCTCAATTGACAGATGCGGTAACTGGAACAAACATTTTATGTTTTCTTTTATGCTATATCTTTGATTATTTTTGATCCCGTCTGGATAACTTCCCAGTTACTTAATTACTCATTCAAATACCTAACCTCTTTTCAATCATTAGAATATATTTATATACATACTTGATGACCCCACCTCCGGTCATAATAAAACGTTCATAGTACTTTGCTTATCGTCAGAATGGAGAACTATACGAGTTAACTCAGACGGAAATACAGACGATTCAAGCCAAAGGAGCGAAACAAAATGTGTGGATTTTGTAATGCGGATACCATTCAAGATATCGATGAACCGATTGAAGTTCGTAGGCCTCATAATTCTAATAAATCTTCACTACCAACTTAGCTATGCAAACGTTTCTGTGGTGTGTTAGTTATTTTTGGGGTGGTGGTGCGGAATTATAAAAACCCGCTTCCCCTTGAGGTAATAAATGGGTAGTAACAATGAGAATCTTGTTCTGCAGTCGCGAAATCATCTTAAAAAACAGAATTTAAAAACAAGTGATCCAAGCGTTTCACTGAAGGTTATTAATACTGTCAGGATGACAAAACTGCCATTAAATTGCGAGAAATCGGCGGTCTGAATCAATCGCATAACCAGAAGTTCATGTTCTCGACCACCCCAGTATAGTCACTCACTTTCACTGATGAGGTTCCATACTGCGAAGGAATAACTGTCACGTAGTTCTTCAATTTTCAATGGTTCCTGACATAAAGTCAATCTTAATGTAAGCTATCTCTAGATTGAATTATTTTCAAAAACTTTACGACCGTTTTTGTAAGCAGAGTAAAAAGACAGTGACCAATATTCACTAATTTATTCCCGAATTTCGTACACACAGTACATTGGAACAATCATAAAAAATGGGTTTATTTTTCATATGCTGAATATTGATAAGATAACATCTTGAAAAAATCAATAAAACCTATTAGATAAACGTTTACCTGTAAGAAATAACGAATGCCGCGTTTTACAGCCGTTTGTTGCCAATTCAAAAGACTATAAGCGTCCGTTCCAAGCTCTACATCACAATTTACTTGGCTTTCACCTTCATCCATAGTGCCACCAAGTTGGATCACCGGAAATCCAGATAGAACAGGCAGTTGGGGACTACGACGACGTCCAATTATCTCATCATTCAATGGCCAATTCACTTCGTTAGAACCACTTGAGATATCTTGTTGTGCAGCAGAATGAAGCAAAATAACAATTGGTGCAGCTGACTGAAAGCTACTTGTGTTTGCTTCTTTAGGATCTGTCTCTCGTGCACCCATACTTTTACATAGACCAGTAATCCAGCGCTGGACTATACGCCGACCAATAACTGCATCTGATTCAGTGTGCACTTCGAAAGTCAAAGTATCCGGAGGAAATTCTTCGTTTTTAAAGTCAGGAAAAAGTTTCGTACGTTGTCTCAAATATAATATATTTAAATCTGGTAGCTGATTAATCCTCGCACTATCAATTACACAAACATAACCGCACCTAGTCCATGGTACAATCAAAAGATAAAGCTAAAAACAAAGTTATTTGGTGGAATAGCTATTAGTTACTATATAAATAAACAAGATTTTATAGAACATTGAGAATTTCTTATCTAGCTGTCATGAATTTAAAAGTCTGTGGTGAGACAACTAGGCATGAACATGGAAATCGTAAGTCATGATATGGGCAGACGACTTTAATTGAATATCCAATATACGGAAAGTTTATTATTGTGTAGACAAGCAATAATGAAGATCCTATCAGGAAATCAGCAACCAAACAATGCTGCTTCGAAATTTGAACCAAACTCAACTAAAACTATAATGCTAGGTCGACTATTAACATGATACTATTCAGTTTGGCAAGATATAGAAACTTTTCAGTGACACCTAGCACATGATAGGCTGTTTATCTCAACGAGAACAAATAAACAGTTCAGAAGAAAAGAGCTCATTTATATTGATGGCGAAAGGGGTAATACACTCTATGGAAATTTATTTGAGTACCTGGTTTTGAGCACGAGATTTTCCCAATACTACTAAAAAACATATGGAATAAGTTGATGGCACTTTTCGATAACCTATTCATTAAAGAGGACATACCAAACTATTCATTAGTAGAAAAACATACTTGTCTTTGTGAATCTCTTCTTGCCATCGCTTGTCCTACTGAAGGCAACTGATAGTGAAATAAGAATAAGTGCCTCAAGCTGCGACCAGATAAGTATGGATGTTGGGCTAAGGAACAGAAACACAGTTGGTCCAAGTTAAAACCGCCTTCATCTGAAACCAACCCATGTTGGTTTTTCCTAAGAGCTTTCCGGTCAACTGTACACAAACATCCCACTCTCATTAAAATACGAAATAAACTTGGTACACCAAGCTCATACACGCCTTCAATATCTGGTCTAGCTAAATCTGTAGCAATTTCCGCAGCGTGTTCAGTGTAAACATCTTCCGGTACGTTGTACTCGTACAAATGATAAACTGTATGGTTTCTAGGAAGAATACGACCACTTGTACTTCCGGTTTCATCACCCGTTGATACATTACCGGATACTTTACGGTAGAGTGGGCCAGAGTCCTTGAGTTTGGGCGTACGTATGTTGACATAAAAATTTCTGGACACTGTTACATCTACCGCATTTAGCGACGGAACTAATCCAGATCCAGGTGAATTAATCAAAACCCATAACGTATAGTGACCAATCTGTCGGGGATCTGGAACAATCTCAATCACCTTAAAATTTCAGGCAAGGAAATAAACAACCGAATGATGCACTTAATATTTGTTGGCGATACGAAGATAATGAATAATACGCATTAAATAAAATATGCAAAAAATAACTGACTTAAGTAAACAATCATATGAGCATCAAATCTTACTCAAAAGATAAAGTTACAGGTCTGAACTAGAAATAACATGTAATGTTCTGTAATTCATCATTGATGTAGCTGACTTCCATGCATACAACTAAACTCAATGTATGTTTAAAATTAAATTATAGATGAATAAAGCACAGATAGTTCAGTTAACTGATGAAGAATAATCACACAAGTTCATTTTCTATAATAACTTAAACAAGAGCGATTACAGAGCAACCACCCACAAATGTGTACAACTTGTTATTAACAGGGTGGAAGAAATTGTAACAAATGGTTTACGATAACTAAAACAATAGTGAGTCACTTGAATAAAGAGCCTACATAAAAAGAAACTATGTGCATTGGTGCCTTATACTATTCTGGTTTAGTCAATCAGTCATATGTAACGTAGAAACTGGTACTTATGTGCACCGTTCCATCTTGTTATACACCAGCACAGCAAGATGAAATCGTCAAGATCAATACCAAATGATCAGTATCAGAAGTAGTAGATAAAGTGAAATTAAAAAAGATCAGGTATAAAGAAGGAAAACTGACTTTCAGTAAAACAAGTTATGATATAATTTTAAAGTCCAGGACCTAAGAAAGGTAAGAGTACTTGATAGTCCGTTTTTAGACGCCGAATCAGACGAACAATTAAATATCACATGGAAATAAATCTTCCGTCTAATTCCCTATATTATAACTAGGCTGACCCCGTTTTTATGACGACGATAGGGAGAAATATGGATCAGGTGGGATAAATTTATTTCATACACTCATTTATGCAGACAGACACTATGGTGAGAAGCGGAAAAGCGAAGTGGGGAAGACGAGTGTAGAAGATCTAGCCACTACAGCAGAAAAAGCCGCAAGAGAAGGAATTCTCAGACAACTATATGATGCATCAAAGAAGTTTGGTGGTATGCTTTTGCGGAGAGAACACATTTGTTGAAACGGAAACACTTATTATTGTAAACAATATAACCATAACTGTTCTACTGTACTCCTTTTTGTTTAGCTGTACTAAAGACCATAACTCGCGCACCAAGCGTGTTACTCCCATTCCTCGTTTCTCCTTGGTGGTTGTTAGCGGTCTTCACCAGACCACGAATCAATACACATTATTAACCAGTCATAGTTTTCCTTCGGACTTCTGCATTTAACGGGACTTTACTTGGTAATCTCGCGACAAGTAGTCACAATCTCACTACAGAAGCTCGCTGTAAAATATGGTAAGCCAGAACAACCGGTCAAGAACAACGGAGGCAAAGCAATCACCGACATCGAAGAACAGTGGAACATGTGAGCAGAGCACTTTGACGAGCGTCTGGACAAGTCAACCCCACTGAATCCACCGTTCATCAAAGCAGCACCTTCAGACCTCCCGACTGATGTTAACCCATCAACAATGGAGGAGATCAGCATGGCCATCAGACAAATCAAGTGTGGAAAAGCAGCAAGACCAAACAACATACCAGCTGTATCATTGAAATCAAACATAGAAGTAACTGGAAAAGTGCTCTACACGATCTTCAGTAAGTAAGATTTGGGAAGAAGAGCAAGTACCAACAGACTTGAAAGAAGGACGCCTCATAAAGACACCAAAGAAAGCAGATCTTAACAAGTGCAAGAACTACAGAGACATCACTGTAATATCAATACCAGGCAAAGTCTTCAACAGAATGTGGCTAAACCGAATGGAAGATTCAGTAGACGACCAACTCTTCGATCAACAAGTTGAATTCCGTTAGGATAGATCAAAAACCGACCAAATCGCGACACTTTGAATCATTGTTGAACAATCATTTGGATGTAATTCACTTTTGTACTTCAACCTCCCCGGCTCAAATAAAACATTTGACTGCGTGTATAGGATGATACAATCAAAACTTCCTAGACATCAGTGTATCTAAGAAGATGCCAGCATGAAAATTATTTTTACAAGGTAAGAAGCAAGATCCTTCGTGTAAAATAGTTGTGCTTCTCGTAATACAACATTGTCGAATTATGATGGCACAACGAACGAACTGGAAGACTATCAAACATCTAAGGTTATCAGTAGCGTCCACTCCAGAAAAATAGTAATCGTAACAATGTTTATTCTCCAATAAAAAGTGCTGAAAACAGTTCCACTCTTATGTAAAACCGTCTACAAGCAGAGTTGAAACGTGGAGAACTACTACAGTTATGATAAAGCAATAGTATTCACTAACATTTGCTTATTCCATAACCAATTGTCAAACACCTCAGCAACAATCTACTGTAACAGAAAAAAACCACCTGATGGATGGGGAAGATATGGGTAAGAAACATAGAGGATACTCGGAGGTTACTGGTTTACGATCATTGGTGTCTTTGTAACATTGCTCGTCGCGGCAGTCGGTGGTTGGCCATATGTAACACATGTCTCAACGACCTCAACGTGTTGACGTTTCAATACTTCATCTATTGATCTGCCATCCTTACCTAGTACTCGTTTCCTAACAATAGCGTTGCTTTTTCGATTGTCCCTGGAATTAAGAGCAATGTTTTGTCGTGTAAGAGTTGGTTGGAAGAAACCTAGGGGCGGTCAGACGAAAACATGGCAGAAATACATGAAGTCGTCGACAACTGGACTGAGCCATGCTGGTATATGTAGACTACCTGGTTAGGGTCCGCCAGACAATAGTAACCGATGGTTAGAGAGGCTTAAATAAGTAACAACAGACTTATTGAAACACGAAGCACACTATAGAGCAATAACTCCACTCCCTTAGGAATGTCTATATCAATGAAGAAAAGCGAATTGACTTTAGGAACGGTGAATACTGCAAAAAGTATGAGTTACCTGCCATACAGCTGTGAATAGATTTACTCTAGTTTGATTCAAATATCTAGCCAAACCACGTTGCCTTTTAGAGGATGGTAAAAATGAAAACCCATGGTCAAAATCACAATTTATTTCCGGATTGCCCATAGATTGAACGAAATATTGACGCTGTTCTAACTGGAGTCGCCACTTAGCTTGATGAAATCTCAGCCATTCAGTTAATTTTTTTGAAGTATTAGCATCATCTAAGCTTGGAGGTTCACCTAACTGTTCCCTCCATGATTTAGGAGGACCTTCAGGTGACCGAAGACGCTTAGCAGGAAGATGTCGAGTTACAATAGATGTGTTGGACTTAACTTTCTCGTCATTGTTTGAACAAAGTGTTTCTAAATCTGGTAATACTGTGCTTTGTTCTTCAGTTTTGTTCATTACTGAATTCTCAAAAACAAACATTTCTGTTAGTTTCCGTTGTTTACATGTATCCATTTTTTCAGCTAGTTTACGAAGTAGCCAATCAGGATGACTAACTCTAGGTACTGGGTTAGAAACTTGTTGTAAAGCCGCTGGGATTGTGATAATTTTCTGGATAGCACTGGACAAACGTTCGATATAATAGGACCAATCAAGTATTTCACGTATATCTGTATGCTCATCAAGATTTGAATCTTTAAGCCACTTTTGAAGATAATGGCGTTTGATTGATCCCTCTGCCTAGAAAATAACAGTAAAAATAAAGAACCAAGAAGTAACAAACACCAAAACTAACTTCTATAAGCTACCTGGACAAAAATGTGACTACAGAAGTGAGGGTTTTATGGGGGCTTTTAGTGATTGATGCGACAAAACTTTCGGTCATTAGAATCAATAGGTAGAATTTTAATCATTAGATGAGTGCAATGATCTAGCCAATTGATAATACAACTACAAAGTAATGGAGAGGAATTCATACATATTATAGATGTCCTCGTATGTAAAATTTCATGAGTGATCATAATACAGAACTAATTACTGAGTACTCGGAATAACTATAATCTTAACTGTAGATTAAAAAGTTACACACTCAAGAACACAGGAATTCAAACGATATGCAAAATTTACAGAGTTCTCACATGAGTGGTGTCTCGTTATCACTAAAATTCACGATAATCTATGTAAATCAATTAACCGTATTCAATAAAATTAACCTTAAAATCAGAAAAAGTTTTAGGATAGAAACATGAAATTACGTTTACCTGAAATATAGCTAAAGGAATAGCTCGTTCAGTTACTGGTGCACCATCAGGCTGCCGTGCAATGATATAACGACAAGATAAACCTGCATCTTTAACAATCTGGTCCCCTAAAAATTCAGCCATTCGTCTGGCAGTACTTAGAGATGTTGACTTCTGACTTCCATAATCTTCCAATTTTCTAGACATGCTTCGATTCTCTGATATTAGATCGAATAATTCAGAATCTGGCATATCAGCTCCTTTAGAGTATAGTACATCCAACCAATGATCAGCAACACTAGCGACTGATGAATAAGCCTCAACTAAACTATCCCCACGAAGAAATGCTTCAAACACAGATGACTGAAATATTTTAATCAGTTGTAGTTCACCATTCCGTTTAATCTCGAATCCTTTTAATTCTGCTAAACTCCCATCGAAATTGAAAACAGCATAACGCTTTTTCAAACGTTTTCCTTCTTCTTTTGCCGCAGGCAAAACCATAGCTTTGTATGGACCATCAACTTCAAAGTATATGGAATTTTCGGAGCGAACTTTGTATGTGAGAGTCTCCTGATCAACTAATTCATGATACTGATGATTTGTGAAAAAGTCTTGCACCATGATGTTCAATACAGCTCCAGGATATGAAATCGAAATACGAGATGGCTTTGAACCAACAGCAGTAAATTCAATGTTTTGAGGAAAACTTGCAGGAAGAATACACCATATCCCATCAGTATCTAGTTCTAATGCACGACCAATCTAAACAGGAAGAAAAACAAACACACTAACAATGTAAAAGATGAAAGTGCATACAAGTTTTACGGATAGAATTCAAATGGGAAATTAAGTAAAATAAGTTGTGCGAGACGCTGCATATGAAGCCGGTGTCAGACGCGCAATGCAACAAACGTAGACTTACCAACGATTTATTTACTTTTATATATTTAGGAGTAACAGATAAATAAAAAACCTAAGTATAAGGAGGTATGATGTCACACACTTCAGACAGAAAGTTACAATTAGTAGAAAGACAAAACACAACTGGTAATCAGTCAGTCAGTTACAACACAGAACTTCGTACATCAGTTCAGGTTGCCGTACCACATAAGAACAGAGACGCAATTGTCAATCCAAATCCCATAGTGATAGAGATTGTAGAAGAATGACTGCTTAATGGAGAAGGTTAGAATTTGAAGATAAGAATCAAGAAGTATAATTCAGTGAGATAAGTATAGAAAGACAAAGAGAGGGAGTTGACGAATCCAGAAGATAGGCATTTGAGAGAAAACACAAAGAGTGGATGCATCTGCGCCATTGCAAACGATTTTGAGCCATATTACTCAAGGTCTCTAACCACTGGTGACTTTTGTCCAACAAGGTAGCCTACATCTACCAACATGACTCAGTCCACTTGTCAATGACTTCATGGATTTCTGCCATGTTTTTGTCTGGTGGCTCCTAGCCTTCGTCCGACCTATTCCTACACCGCAAAATATAGCTCGACGAGGCAGTCGGTGGTCCGACATTCGTAACACATGTCCCAACCACCTCAACTAATGAAGTTTCAATAGTTCACATATTGATTTGCCATCATTACCTAGTACTCGCTTCCTAATGACAGCACTGCTTACTCGGGTGTCCCACGATACACGAGCAATGCTTCAAAAACACCTATGATCGAATACTAGTAACCCACGAATATCTTCTACTCTCACTGGCCATGTTTCGCATCCATATAGGAGTGGACTGCTGCGAAGAACACTCATCGCAGGTGCATCTACCCTTTGTGTTCTATCGAATTCTTAACTTCTGAATGCCTCATAATCTCTACATTTCTCCATCTAAATTTATCTTATTGAATTATACTTCTCGAATCAGCCTACGTCTAAGCTGACTCCGCTCCTCATCGCACTCAGAGCCAGGCGGGATGAGTTTTCGAGCATCCATCAGTTCGGTGGATGCTACTGAGATCCACGGCTTCATCCTAGCCTTATGGTCTACCTCTTCTATCGAACCCCTCCGTCGGTGGCTGATGGCGATATGATCCAGTTGCGTCCAACATTGAGACGACTTTGAGGGGTCGCCAGGTCAGAAGTTTTTCCTTATGCCTAAAGTTAGTGTTTGCTAGAAATAGGCGGTTATCTGAGCAAAGTTGCAACAGACGGTCGCCATTGTCTGTTCTCTGAGTCGCGACACCATAACATCCACCAAGGTGTCTCTCCTGCTCACTTAGTCTACCTACTTGAGCATTGAAGTCACCAGCCATTATTACTATATCAGAGCGCCTAGCTTTTTGGCGGAGGTCCGAAAGCTTTCTTTAAAACTCATCTGTCACCTCGTCTGAACTGCAGTCAGTGGGGGCATAGGCAGATACGACGATAAGCAACGGCGAGTGTCCCTATCCTTCCGAGTCCCTACTGCTCCGTTTAGTCGGACAGCGCACAACTGACTTTCTACTGGGATGCAGTCAAGGAGAGATTGTTCAGCTCTACGACTCAATGCTATGCCTACGCCAGCAAGACCCCTGGAAGCAGCATCAGGGCTACCGGATACACGAAGAGTAAATCGATCTGCTACTTTATTTTGACAAGGTGAAATCAGATTAATAATTTTACTAGGATCCTGTATGCGCGTTTCCGAGACACAGCATACATCGATGGCACGAGATTCTGGAAGGTTGTTGCCCTATTTGACATAATCTCCGTACATTAAAAGCTCCAACAAATAGTCTAGAACGGGGTTTTAGGAGACCAGAAATGACGTTTCGTGAACTCGCATTGTTTGCATTAGCTGTGCAGTGTGATAAATGAATGTGAGAAGAGTTAGTCGTGGAGATAAGAGAGATATTACGGGGTGTAGAAAGGGTTTGATTTTGACCGATTCGGTCTCACGTGCTGTTACGGGTATGGGGGCGGTTGTCACCTCCCGGCTGCCCACACCGTGGAAGGTTGTTTCTTGAAGGACCTGAAAAGGAAAGTAGATCAGCGTTAGTCTTAACGACCTGGGAGCGTGACCGCGGAGCCCAAGGGAAAACTGCTTGAGGCCGGTCACGCACGGCCTTGTTATGAAAGGATTTATGAGTATTAGCTTCGCTCTTGAAGGCCCTTGGTGAGCACCCTTACCGACGGAGACGGAAATCTGTGAGGCAGGGTGAGGTGTAACATTTTTAGGGTCGACCTTTTCTAACCCTTCCTTCCTTGTGAGAAGGCAGCATCGCTGCAGATGCTGGTTGTCCAGGAGAAACACCTTACTGCTGTCACAGACCTCTGCAGTCAGCAGTACGACTTTGCCCTCAGATATGGGTAGCTTCTTTTAGTCTCATAGTTATCCAATCGACCTGTCTGGCATAGTAGAACCTTCAGGAACATATGTTCCAACCAATATAGCTCAGTTGGGTCATCACGATAGGCAGGCCCGACCACCACGTCAAGGTAGCAGCTTTGGTCAAGGAACTCCAAATCAACATGGTAGTGAGTGCCGATTCCCATCTAACAGGTCTAATAATAATATCCTGAATTCAAGTTGAGATCACGTGAATAGAGATTCCATTAGGAAAACAAACTGCATCCTGCTAACGAAAATCAATGCAAATTTAAGCTCTCTTCAAGCAGGTTTTGTTTTCCCATGGCGTTTATAGATTTAGTTATTGAGAGAAACTATTCTAAGATTAAATGCATATATGGTGATGGTTAATTTTTACACAGAACATTTGAATCAAAAGGTTAGAATTAATTCACTTATGTTGAACCTGAGGAGCAGTTCAGTCTAATACAAAAATCCCACTGCCACATTTCTGTTATAAAAAATATTTGGACTAAGAAGAAATGCAGAGTGTGGAAAATAGATATTAAAAAGTTAGGAAAAAAACTTGATTAAAGCAACTAACTTGTTCTACTATCTCTCTTGATTTAGTTATGATTTTCGCACCAGTATGACAAACAATACCAGCCATTTCCATTGAGTACCAACGAGCACCGCGTCGCATTACATAACCATAAAAAGAGTTCAGAATACATTTATGTGCCAGTTGAAGGCTATCATACAATACGAGCATTGCGTTGGCCTCTTTCACAGCATTTGAATCACCTGTCCCAGAGGACAGAGCTGCACATGCATCATCGTAATGACGCTTCCAAGTCTACAAAAAAAATGCAATCAAAACTGTGAAATAAACGAAAACACTGAAGATAATCGATGAAAATTATTATCATTCAGAAGAACCGTTTCATAACGTAGCAAAATTAGTTTGAAAACAAGCATAGAAAAAGATGGATCCCAAATACTGCACCGACTACAATAAAAACTGACATTTCTCTGGTCGTAAGTGGAACCCGTTGTCACTGATATGTTGTAGTACCAATGTTATGCGTTCCTGTAGCTGTTTAAATGTCGTCGCAACAATCAAAACATCATCGAGATAAGCCGCGACCCCTGAGATACCTGATAGGATGGTATCCAATAGTTGCTAGAAGATACATGGGACAGTCTTGACTCCAAAATGCAGGTTATACTGGAACAAATCACGATGAGTATTGATAGTAAGCAGCTCTCCTGAAGCTTCATCCCCTTCCACCTGCAAATAAGCATCAGCTAGATCCAGCTTTGCGAAAAACTTCCCCCACTCAGCATAGTAAAAAGACCTGCAGGGACTGGCAGAGGATAATGATGCTGTTCCAGAGCTGCATTGAGACCTGTAGAAACGTCAGCACATATACGTATTGTGTCGTTGGCCTTCTTAATAACTATAGGTGCTGCCCAAGTAGAGTAAGAAACGGACGTAGATTAATGAGACGTTGGTATTTGTTAGCCATGTCACTGAGGGTAAGCTTCGTATCTTGCTCTAATCGACATAGTAGCTTTGTTCCAACGTCGCTGAACTTTAAAGACTGGAGGCTGCAAATGAGTATGAGGGCTTTAAACTGGTCTTCCGACAAAGACTTCAACCGAAAGTGTCCGCATTCACGGTCGACTATGACCACATGCGTAAGAAAATCATCGTCTTCATTCATAACTAGCTTCAAACATCGATACCGCGTATTAAACAGTGACGAGTTGTCACCAAAGTGTTGGCTCAATGTCTGCATCATCTTGATTGGAGAAATCAAATTTAGATAAATCTTCATACCGCCTGAACCACATGCCACAAGTAACGATGGCGTTAGGATCATAATGTAATTCAGCTATGCTATTTGCAATGCCGTCGACTGATGAAGCTGTGGTTGCATTAGATGAGCTGGGCTGTGTGGAAGGGGAAATCTTCATGTCTGTCAACATCTGCATCAGTTTTAGCTGCTGCTTAAGTAATAATTCAGGTATGGCAGGATCCATGTTTCCAAAATCACCTTCGCCAATTATTAGGCTCGTCAATCGATATGCTTGAAATTATTACGAGTTCACCTTTGTCGATAAACGAGAATGAAACAATGACCAAGTGATACGATAGGCTGCTCTGATCTGTTGCCCCAACTAACTGAAGAAGTCTTGATATGTCGTAGAAAATGTATTCTACAAGCACCTAGAAAATATAATGATCTCGAGCACACATATCGCGTTTATTTATACATCACAGAAACGTCCTTGGGAGGGCCACAAGAATAGCGTACTAAAATAACACACCAACCAATCACAGCCAAGGACTATCATGGTGGGAAATGTGATCTCAAGGTCAACTGATCAGCCCGTGAATAAAATCTAAAATTAAAACCTTTATCAAATGAGTTCTGGGGATCTAACGTTCCCAGCTACAATTGAAGCCCATAGTTGAAAACCACGGATAACACGACTGAGCAGCGATCGCTGGTCAGAGAAATGAAACGTATTCTTTGTCGAAACCGTACTTTCATGATTATAAGCAGAAAGGATGAACATGATCAAATAATTATCAGTTATAACTACCTGATCGATATCACTATTTTGATGTGTTGATCGAAATTAGCTATGGGACGACCTAACTAACGTATTAAACACTTGTTCTTTAAGTTCTTACCATTTTGAGGTTTTCTGGATAGTGGTAGGAACAAATAAGTCACGGTCTGAAAGAGAATTGCCAGATAGACTGAAAGAAACATCAATTAGGGTATGGAAGTCACACACGATTCGTTCAGCTAGACATTAAGGTTGACTGTTCTAATTCAAAGACGAGGATCCCAATGTTGACTGACTAACAGATTGATGACAAATGTTATACCTGTGTGGTCATTGGTGCATCTCGGATCCAATCCCACAGAAGACATCCATTCCCTTAGGATCCTAGGTACATCTCTCTGGCGAATGTCAGCCACCATGAAATTTAGATAAAGAGTTACTGAAACACAGGTTTGTTTACTCTGTATGTAACAGCCAGCTACACGAACTTCCTTGACCTAGGACTGTATAAGCGATATAGTTCTGTTTGGTAGAACTGAAGTCAATATGCAACCTACTCATCTTATAGTTTACTCAATCGGTATCGTTTCTCAATGGTTATTATTTTTCAAACTAGTCCTCGACTTCTGATACGACGGGAACAAATCAATGCGTTAAAACCGACTAGGATTTCTAAAATCAGGTGACTGAACATACAAATACGAATGTTTTGCAGCAAATACTAATAGTAGTAAGGATATTTTTGCGAAGACTCTCAGTGATGAGCATACTATATCCACAATCGTACAATGTGATTCCAGCATGACACAACTTTATACGACAGTAGGCAACCGACACATTAATCTACATCATGTTAAGGTTCAAACTCTTGATAATAGTACTTATTAAATCGTCTGTTACAGAGTACTTACTTTTGTCAAACCCTTGAATTTATATCGACGATCACGGAATGCCTTAACCGTGTCAACATAAAAGGAATTTTCTCGTTGACAGACCATAGCAAGTCGTTCTTCTGTTCTAGTTAAGTGGATACGTTTATAAGCTCGACGGCAATAATCAGTAATACGCTTTTTTTCAACCACAGCTTGTTCTTCTTTTGACAATTCGTGAAATGACTTCATTATAGTCTTTGGGAACTTTTCATTCACATCAGTTACCTTAACAGGAAAGCGCTCTTGAGAAAGTTGGGCTTGGATTCGATAAACTTCCGGTCTGGAAGCTGTCCAAAGCTCCGCACGCCATGTCCACGGCATGAAACGTTGGCAGGATATTCCCGGTTTGTAAAACTCACAGTCAGCACACTTGGCAGCAGAATTAGAGTCGACAGCTGATGGTTGAAGTCGATTAGTAAGAATGATGTTTGGATACATTGCACCAACATCCAAATGATAAATAACTGGACATTCAATTCTATTAGGCGTGGAGGCTAATTGTTGTAAGGTGTTCTCTACTTGTTCACAAATCTAATATGTGTAGTCGAAAAACAAGACACTGGAAATTTTAGTTATAGAGTATGGAGTAAAGGAAAACATGTAGAAGTTACACCTATATTTAAGAATGAAAAGTCAATAACTGTGCATGATGGGAAAATCTTTAATTGTTAGGTAAGAATGAAACCTTTAGTGAAATCATTTCCATCCCTTTACAATTCCTTTAAGTCAGCGTGTTGATAAACACTGTACTATCATGTAAGCAAGTTTGATATCTATTTAATATGTTTCGCAACATACTATTCACAATAATAATTTATTGCATAGTAACTTGAACTGGCGAAGTTCTATGTTGTAGCTGACTGACTGACCAAACAGTTTGAAAGTTCAATGTTGCAACGTACAGTGAATTCACAACAAATGGCTACAGATATATTCTTAGTGCGTACATATTTCGTACGTGCAAACAATTTCCGTTTTATAAATACTAAACTAGGTTTATTGATTTTCGACCTCAATTTACGACAATAATGATCTAACAAGTCTCCAACTCGTTTAGAGAATTACAAATTCATAGTTAGGAAAAACAAGAAACTAAAATAATTGTAGAAACCAATTATGATGCTAGAAGTCAGATAAATGATGCATCTAAACACAAGTCACAAGAATATGTGAAGCCACAACAATTTGACTAGAATAACCTGAATGAAGATCAGAACAAGCTGAGTTTATGACCCAAATTTAGCTAAACTTGGTTATATTTCTCAAGTACATAAGGAATTTCTGTGCCAAGATAACCGTTGGTGAGTCCAATCGTTTATTTGTTTTATGGCTGTAAAGCATTCAACTATAAAGTCAGTCAGCTACAAAGTAGAATGTTGTGCGTACATACATCAGTGCGTGTTGTCAAACCACATTAGCATAGAGAAGCAAATATAAATTCAAATCCCATGGTAGTATAGGTAGTAGAAGTATTATTCCAGAAGTATAGTTCAGTGAAATAAATTTATAAAAGAGAAGGATGAAGGTCATGAGGAATTCAGATTAGAATTCGAGAGAAGATAAGGAATGGACGAATATGAGCCATTGTAAACAATTTTGAGCCATGTTATTTGTCTCTAACCATTGGTTACTGTTGTCTCACGGGACAGCCAGGTGGTCTACACATATTAATATGGCTCAGTCCAGTTATTAGTGACTATGGATTTGTGCCATGGTTCGGTCTGTCCACCCCCCAGCCAACCATAAAACCAAAGATAACATAGGACTAAAATTACTATGATCGCTGAGTGTTGGACCAACCAATTCAATACGGTAGCCCCACACTAGTCGATGAAGACATTACATACCACAGGTACATTACAAGTAGATCACAATACGTTGGTAAATTTAGTTCTGTGTCAATTTAATTTACATTAACTGAGTTTAAATGCGAATAAATTATGAACTTTTCGCTTCATAACTTAATACTCAATATCAGATTGTAAAAAACTGCACTGTCGCATGAATAAGAGTTACCACGAATGGAAATAAGTAATTTGTGGGGTAATATTTTTGCTTATTCCAAACAAACATCACGGTAATAATAATATCAATATAAAATCACGACGGTCAGTTTGTGAATAAACTGTCTCACATTAAAAAATACATTTTTAAGGCAAGAAAGTCAAAAGTTTCCACAAGACAGAAAAACTTAGTATAGAACAAAACGGTATTCGTATGACACAGCAATTTCCCAACGATAAAATTCTGATATCAGTATCGAAAATGTATATTATTATTTAAAACCATTTGTTTCTTCGCGCGCGCGAATATATTCACAGAGGCACCCTAACAGATAGACTTCTTTTACAAACAAAAGAACTGATAGGCTTACAAAATGTGTTTAAGTAAGTAATTAGTACTCCATAAGACAACACAACTTACGGTTATTTGAAGACAAGTATTAGTGTTCATTTGTTTCTCAATAGTCCATGGTTTGCAAAACTAAGAAAACTAGAACACAGTCGACAATTAGTCATGATTCCGAAACAAGGTTTTCAGTAAGTCAGTCAGATGCAACGTAGAACTTTGTACGTAAGTACATCAGTTCAGGTTGCCATACCACATTAGCACAGAGACGCAATTGTCAATTTAAATCCCATAGTGGTAGAGAGAGTAGGAGTACTACTGGTAATGGAGATTAGGATTTGAAAATATTATTCAAGAAGTATAATTCAGTGAGATAAGTTTAGAAAGACAAAAGTAGAGGTGTTGATGAATCCAGAAGATTAGGATTTGAGAGAACACAAAGCTTTACGTGATCTATGTTCGGCTTCATAGGAATAAGAGATGAATGGGATGTTTACATCCACGCTGAAGTGGAAGGTTATTGGTTTAATCACGTATTTTGTCAAAGTACATAACCAAGATGCTATCACAGGATAATGAAAACTACTGCTAATCGTAATTAACTTATGGCATGAAACATAAAAAGCTGATACAATATAAGAAATACTAAGCCAAAGTGATTATTAAGAATTTAATACTCTAGACTTATACCTTGTTAAAATTATCCTTGGTCACAACACTAAACAGTGCGTCTTCGTCCTCTGCGCCCGTTTCCGCCTGTAGAGCTCGACTAACACAACGTTTGACGTCAGACCTAAGTGCTTCCAAAGCTGCAGGAACTAGACGAAATCTAACGGGTATGTCAGCACGAAAAATACCTGCTTCCAGAGCTTCTACATGTCCACCAACATAAGTCTGAGAATCGATGAGATGTCCATCCTCCGTAAATTTTCCTGAAATCCCAGCGTCACTCAGTAACAAGCTGTTAAGTCCCGATTCACCGTCTGTCTGTTTGTGAGGAAAGACAACGTTTGCTGCGTAAGCCTGAACCATCAAAAGAGCCTCACATAGGGTACCAGAGCCTTTACGAAGGACATCATCGGGATTTAATGGAAGGATTGTACACAGTGCGAATACGAACGGATGAACATACTTCATATACAAATAGTAAGTGGCAACTGCATCAGACACTGAGTAATTTGCCAACTCTCTCGGTGATTCACGAGCCATACGGCACATTAATTCTGGGTCTACTTCAATCGGATCGTACCGCAGTTTAGCTTTAGCGACAGCTTTAAGACCACGAGCTCCGACCGGAAGGTAACTGTCACGCTTAACCCAGTATAAGCAATCAATGTGAATTGCTGGTCGTGACAGGTATTCGCCAGAACTCCCATCTCTTCCGGGGCCTGCAGTACCCTTTTGACGAGAAAATGCAATTTCTTCAGACATAGATAGTCCGTAGCTAGCGGCCCGAGCTTCAATAAATGGCCAGTCGAAATAATCACCATTATATGTAACTAATATATTTGGTCGAACTCTGTGAATATGTTCGAAGAAAAAGGTAATGCAATCTAATTCTGTCTGTAAATTATGTACAGTGAAGTGACCTGGAAACTCTGGTCTTGGCGTGTAGTCAAAATCCTCTATATCTTCCGAAAGTATTTCTCGATTGCATATAAGATGTCCAGCTCCATCTAACATGTATGATATCATAATTATCTAAAAGAATATAAGCAAATCAAAAGTATGCTAAAGCTAAACAGTACTATTTAACAAAAAGAATTAACTGACCACTTAAATCAAACCCATAAATTAACATAGTAATCTTTGTCATGTCAAAGAAATTCCCGATGACCACATGGCAGAACATATGTATGTCAATAATTTAATGAGAAAGATGAGGGTTACCAATTGTAATAAACAATTTATCTAACTTAAGGGTAAAATTGATTGCGTATTAATTGAGATTGGCAACTGATAACGAAGGGATATTTTTGAGGTCTGCGTATACTAGGTGAATAGTTCAAATACTGAAATACCAGTCATGAATATCAAGTGGATCCCAACACATACTAGCTGCCGTACAAAAATCTGGAAGAAGACAGATAACAACTATATTCATCGAAGTTTTATGGATTAGAGAAAAGTACGTACAAGATGGAGATGGAAGTAGTTTATCGAAAGTTAATTATGCACAAAAGAGGCTAGCTACCACATGTGACACTGAAAGCCATCTGGGGCGTTTAGAGAATGAAGATGAGTAACTCCACATTGCCAAAAGTTAAATAAAATAATTTTGCTATCTTTAAAAGGAGTCGAGAGTGATTTAACCGCTACTTTAAAACTACCTCGTAAAGCTCCTATCTTCTTTTTTCTGCCTGAGGACAGAAAATCAGTAGGAAAAAACAGTATATGAACTTAATCACTTGACTTGAGTTAATGATATATGGCGTATACAGGCAAACATCTTGCTAAAACTTGTTACTACAAATACGTAGTATTCCTTCTACTAGACTGTCAAATAGACAAGACATTATCTACGCTGAGACGGTGATTCTAGTATATCTTTTATTAACAAAGGTAAAAGATCAGGAGGTAGAAGTTATGGTCTCATGAAGTAATCCAGACATTTCTTTCTTATCAGGCATTTTCCACAAAATATGAAACCGTTAGGTGAGTCAGTCACGAATCAGCTGTAAAAAGCTTAAAAATCCTAAAACATACAACTAATCACTAACACGGAAATACGAAGGGGACCAGATGCCATTTATAGCAGAAAGATTTGCAGTAAGCTAGGGACAAAATTCCAGTAAAATAATAGCCACGCCTCGAATAAAGTGATCGGTTGAAATGATGACTCAAGTACTAACAAAAGGAAAACTGAAATCAGACAGGACACTAACCTGATCATTTGCAGGGTCAGGGAACTTCAAAGGCATCTTTGTAGTTTCTATATCGAATGCCAAGACTACGGGTTCAGGCCATGCCACTGTATCATCATGACGCTTAATTTCAGGAGGACGTCCAGGCATACAGGTCGTGGTATACCAACATCCAGCAAATATATTCAAGTCAATGCATACACGAGTTAAGTAAGGAACATCTGACTCTCTTAGATCAAACAAATTATCAAGAGGATCAACACGATTTTGTCTAACGCCCAACTGGTTGGTTACAATTCCGTAATCATCATTTCTAAAGTGTTCAGCCAAGATATCAGTATAGGAGGATCCCGAAAAGGCCAGTTCACGATTTGCCCGGATCCGAACAGCTAGTTCCCTACGCACTCGGACTAGCTCATCCACACTATAGAACAACATCTTAAGGTAAGTAGCTTTGATTCCAACAAGGTGATTAGGCAGGTCCAAGTCGTTTTTAGAAACAACCTCAATTCCAGCAAGACGAGCAGAGAACCGTTTTAGTAAGTACGAGTTTGCATCACGCTCTGCAGCTTGACCACCACGAACCAGCACATAGAAGTATGGGAGGTAAGGTTTCGTAACTTTGAAACGGTTTCCATCCGTTTGAAGAAAATAAAGGTCAATACCGCTGACCAATCTTTTCGACTCATCTAATAAGTCAGTGGGGTGCATGTTTACCAGCCAGCCGATGCGTTCGCCAGGACCAACAAATGCCTCGAAGCCATAACGTCGATCAGCTAGATCGTTAGCTTTCGCTCTCAAATACCGGTGTTCGTTCGACTCATTTAACGCACTCTCAGCATCTAGTAGTTGATCCATATTATTCTCGACACCTGTAAGCTGAGCGCCACTCTCATTTTTGGTGTAATTCGCTTCTTTTTTGAAAGGTCTCGAAGGAAACCCCTTTCGTACAAAATTAGAACTTTTGGACATCCGCGATTTACAATGCCAATCCAAGCCAGTTCCAAAAAGTTCTACGAAGCCAAATGTATGATTCTACCTCGGAGGAACGCTGTTTGCAAGAAGAATGTAGAGGAGAGCGCGTACGATGATCTGGAATATGTAAGAACATAGAGTAAAATGAAAAATTTCAGCAACTACATAAGATTAACTTAAGGATAAGTATATTAAAAGTGACCGCACAAGTATGAAAAAAAAATTATCCGACAACAAAAACGATAAATCGCCGGGAGGATTTCAAATATAATTTGTAACTCCAGTCTTTGGTAAGTATATGTTCAGCCTGAGGGTACGTAGTGTTCGGGTTGAGTGAGCCGTACGAGGAAATCTGAGAGAAGGAACATGTGAAAAAATGTGCCGAGAACTCAGCAAGCACGTAGAATGTACTTACTTTATTTCAATAAAACGATTACAAAAGACACATGTATGAGATGAAAGCAAGCTGACAACCGGAATTAATCAGTGACGAGAGGATTCGAAAGGGTAACAATTTCGTGAAACGTATTACTAGCGTTTATTGCCAGACATTAAGACCTAAAAACCAAAAAATACCTACGAAAATCACAGAATCCAAGAAAGTCGAGAACAAGAAGCTGTAGGTAACATATATTATTCAAATTGAATTACGCGGTCTTAGTACAAGAGAGATAGCTTTTAGATGATATTGTCTCATACATCATTCTGCGTGTTCAGTTTCAAGATAGACCTACTTTCCTACATATTGATTCTTGGTTGCTCTGCAACAAGGTGAGAAAAGATTTCGATTGAAAGCATCATATAACGAGATTAAACCTGTTAAATTTTGAATACTTGAAGCCGCCGCCGACGAGAGTGATAACTTACAGTCGTCATTATTGGTTGATTCAGACGAACCAACCATCAGTTGGTTTGACTATTAGAAAACTAAAACAAACCGACTGTAATTATAAATTGTGTTTTACACAGAAAGACAATAATAATTCAGTGTGACCGAGAAATTTCGATATCGTCATGGAAGTTGAGGACAATAATTTTTAGAAACTTGTAACGTATGTACAGAAAAGTAGGCTGTAAAAAGAAGTTCATGAACATAATGACAATCTGCATACCAAACCTAAATATATCTCCAATCCATGAGAAATATGTTAGAATGTTCGCCCCATTTTGACATTACAGATCCCTTTTTAAAACTGCTTACATTATATTCTCTTTATACAGAAGCTGTCATCCGATTGTGTTGGCGCGAGTCACATTCGAACATGGTCATCACTGCAGGACAATTATGCACCAGTTACCAGGTTAAATCCCTCCGTAAGACACCAATTAGGAAGAAAGATTGAGATCGTGTTTAATATACGTTTGTAGTCGATCTCCTGGTATCGAAATAATCCCGAGATCGTGTTAAATTTTACACCCGAGACTACCATGTGTATGTGAGTCATGTCGAGTTCACAAACAATGGAAAATTGGAGTGTATTGTTACTGATCAACAAAAAATTACAGTAAAAAACATATTTGTACAATTGGTTATAATAATAAGAGTTCCTATTAAACCAATGGTGTTCTCCTCATAACAGTAGATCAATACAAGAGCCCCCCGCTAGAGAGGCTTTACGCATACATCACGGTTTCGTTCTTGGGACTGTTCGACGAACGTGCTGATTGTAGAACGGAAGAGTTAGCAAACTGGCAGCAATCAGGGACGCTCGAGTTGTCACCAAATGTCTTTTACGTAGAACGGTATCATGTTTGCTGATCGATTCTGTGTACCAGAATCTGAAGATTGCGTTCGTATGGTTTCATCCGTAGATGGTGCAGATGATATGCTGTTGACTGGGACGTAAAAATGAGGTATCTGATGTATCTAGCTTGGTGAAAGAAGATGTACGATCACAATAGTAGGCTTCATTGGTCTAGTACTGGATCCGCAATTATCAGTGTTGCAGAATCCGAACTGAGGTTTGGATTTAGCAATAACTGCTCAGGTAGTTTAGATATGCGTCTTGACCAGTTGAAATCCAAAACAATTGATCTTGGTTGATAACGGTTCAAAACAATATAACCACTGTTATTCTTTGGACAATAACACAGTGTTTCCAATTCTGGAAGAGTGCTCCAAGTTACAATCAAAATTGCACACTTCCAGTCTGTGTTAGTGCTCCAACCGCCAAAGCAACAAAATCATAACGGCTGTCGCCATAATTAATACCAACCGAAACAACATAATACGGTTCGGAAAGAAACACATAAACTCAAAAAAGGTACAAAAGATAGAAACTATGACAAAATACAAGTATTATCACCAAAAAATCGAATTGAACAGATTACCAAAATGTAGAACTGAAAGAATTGATTCGAAGGTACCACAAATGTAAGTTTTCATACCTATAACTCGGACTTAAGTTATTGTCTTCCGTTAGTCGTGACAGTTGAGGTACAACCGTACAGCGCGATCCACAGTCCTTCGAAGCAGTAAGCCACTGTTTCCTCCGTAATAGAAGTGATTGAAATAGCTTCGGACTAACTTGTGAGACGATCGGTGCACATGAGTATGTGATCATACCCATGCGATGGTGGCAATGGTATTACAACGTCAATATGAACATGGTCGAAGCGAGCATCAGGCGTAGCAAATGTGTCGATAGTGGCAGCTACATGCCTCCGCACTTTTGATCGTTGACATTGTAGGGATTGCTTTACCCACATACGGACATCTTTGTTCATGGAAGGCCAGAAGTATCGTGCAGCGATGAGGCGTAATGTGGCTGCGACACCTGAATGAGACAGTCTATAAATGTCTTCGAACACGAGACGACGATTAGCAGAGGAAACGATGGGTGGGAGTGGACCAGTAGAAGTACCACTCAGGATAGTTCCCGATCTGCTATCTGGGAGTATTTCTTGGAACTTATGGGATGTGCAATGTAGTGCTTCTGAACAGAATGAAAAGTGAGCTTCGGCGGAAGCCTGAGATCAAGAACCGGTAAAGTGACTGAATTCACTTGGATACGTGACAGAGCACTGGCAACGTAGTTCGACTCGCCTTTAAAGAGACGAAGGTCTGTCGTGAACTGAGAGATGTAGTTCAACTGTCTGCACTCTCGTGATGAGTAGCAGTCAGACTTGGTATGCAGAGCACATATTATGGGCTTATGGTCGGTGAGCAAGATGAATTCGGGAATTCCTGCTGCGTGCCTAGAGTGTTTGGTGGCACAGTAGGCTGCAAGCAGCTCGCGACTAAAAGCTCAATATGTCGTCTCTGTGGAAGTGGGGCGTCGTGAGGAAAATTCAAGAGGTTGACAACTTCTAGAGATGTTCTGTTGCATGAAGGCTGCTACAGAAAAATCCGATGCATCTTTCGTTATACTAGGCGTGGCTGATGGGTCAGGATGGGAGAGGAGCATGGTTTGAGCTAATACTTTTTTCATCTTTGGAAGTGCAGTATGCGCGGCATCGTTCAGTTCTAATTTACGTAGAGTACCGCGAAGTATTCGGTTAACTGTCGTAACTGTTTTGCCGCGAGAGGAATAAAACGTCGGTAAAAGCTAACCAAACCGAGAAAAGCCTTCAGTTCCTTGTGTGAGAGCGGTACAGAGTACAACATGATCGCACGTACATTGTCTTCACAAGGTAGAATACCCTCGTGATGCCAACCAAGTATTTTATTCCTGTCTTGCCCAGTACACACCTGTCCGGATTGGCCAATATTCAATCATCGGAAAGACGATGTAACAGCAGTGTTAATTGCTGATATCGTTCATTTGAATGGCATTCGTAGGAACTCAGAAAAAATGAAAAAAATCGTGATAGAAGTTTAGTGACAATCTTGTCTGAGCGGGGACTCGACATTGGCGGGCACCGGACCAAAATTTACGATGTAAATATCCTAAACCCATTAGGACAGGTCTACCCTAAAATGTCACACCTCACCCTATGTTTGTAGTCGATCTCCTGGTATCGAAATAATCCCGAGATCGTGTTAAATTTTACACCCGAGACTACCATGTGTATGTGAGTCATGTCGAGTTCACAAACAATGGAAAATTGGAGTGTATTGTTACTGATCAACAAAAAATTACAGTAAAAAACATATTTGTACAATTGGTTATAATAATAAGAGTTCCTATTAAACCAATGGTGTTCACTTTATAAAAATATATCACTACGCGATCACAAGGAAATACTTTCAGTACTTTCAGTTATCACTCAGAGAAAATGCACAGTGCGAAAGAAGATAGCACTGAAGTAACTTAACGTACGTGGCAACGCAAGGACATAACCTAATTTTGACTAAACTTAAAGGAAAAAAAGTGGTAATAAAATATTTCCACTTAGATACTTGTTTCAGAGGAAATATTTACTCAGCAAACGTAAACATCTGTCTCTAGGATACAGGTTGAAATTCATTCACGGTTAATTCATCTGAATATCATTAAGTTTCGAAATTTAAGCATATTTGAATGCGTTCATGGAGTTTCAAGTGTTGAGATGAATACACTACTAAAGACGTCAGTAAAAAACGTCGTTTATCAGGTTTTAGGAATGCTTTAATGTTCCGCTTGGTACGCTGAACATTATCAAATCTGCAAAATCTGAACAAGTTGGTTTTGAGTTTTTTCAACAGTGTGAGCTTTTTGAGGGCCTGATGAAATTCGAAATCCGTAGTCGATTATCTACAATCACCGAGTACTATGATAATATTACTATCTGCCATGTGAATAGTATGGAAAGGAATGTGATATCTAAGAATATTTAACGATGAGTCGGAATACGATATATACTGTTTATATACTACATTTTTCTTACCGAAGAATACGAAAGGCAGCGCTACATGCGGCTGTCTCATCGTAGCTTGTAATATGCGTACCTAAATTCACACCTTGATTTAACTGTTCTTTAAGTGTCCTATCTGCAGCAGATAAACGATCGAATGACAACAGTGTAGCACCTTCCAGTTCCGGAATACGGTTCGCTACTATCAAAGTGTTGACAGCCAAGTTGGTGAATTCCAATTCAACATTAACATAAGGATAAAGACCAGGTCGATTGATTTCAACCACCTAAAAAGGTATATAAAAAGACCTTGTAATCAAAAGGAAGCACTAAAGTATTTTATCTGTAAAGGACATTGATCTTAGTGCTGCAGTTTTAGCGCCAAAAAGTATATACGAATACCGAGGAACTCCAGAACGAGTAACGTGCCTGAAATAATTAATTGATAAAAAATACAATTTAAAGCGCTTTGCTCAGCGATTGAGGTGGTGGCTTCAAAGACTACCACTTGATGTCCCAGTAACCCTACATATCGTCAACTGACACGAAGATTCTTTCTGATAGTGGAACAGCTAGTTACATCATAATAAATTATCAGTGACTAAACTTGAGGTAGATGAGGAATTGCATAAGCTGTGTTTACTAATGTAGTTACGGAGCGCTCATCGCTCATAAATTTGCACAATTTCGCATCACAATAATAATGACCAATTAAATACTTAAACACAAGGCATTGAATCCACGCTAGTCATTTGAAGGTTCGGGATACTACTTTGATGCTTAAAATAAAACAATTGGAGTACATTTCTGAACCTGAGACCTAGTGTCTGGGATTCGAGAACAAACATTCGTTCCACTTCTTCACCTACAATACTGCAATTTCGCTAGCTGAGCGAAGTGCGTTGATCAAACTATTTTTAATGTGAACTCTAAAAAGCGATCAAACGAAGCGGTAGATCTTGTATATTAACTGGAAAAAGGCAGTTACATCACGGCATAAACTTACTCCAGATTCTTCCATTTCAAGCAATAGGCGTTGATCATCTGTTTCTTTTCCACCCAAATCTGGACGGCCAGAAGATGAACACCAAAGAACGTGATTATG